AAGTCACGTAAAAAGCGGTGAGTTTCTCGAGAAGCTGTTGATCATGAAATTACCATACAGCATTTCGTCTTTCTATAAGTGTTACTGAAGGGTTTGGCCGAGCAAATTCTATATCAGTATACCCTCCCAGGCTCTGAAAAAGGCGATACTGCGGAAACGCCAGCTTTAACGGAATAAGGAATGAAGCAACACCTCGTGTTTGCTGAACAATGAAACCGAGAACTATTTGATCAATCCCGAGGTTAATAGAAATCGCCAATATATCTGAAGTGAGTAATGGACGCAAATCGGTTGCTGATGCTCCCTCCTTAGACATAAAGGCAATGGCAGGCTTGGTCCATGCCGCTGTCCCGTCTCCAACACTTTCATTTGTGCGTGATATTTTCTAGACCATCTGAAGATTGGGCAGTTTAAACACTCCTTGAAGAGGCGCACGTGCTGATAGGGCTGCAGTGATTTAGACGATCTAGGAACATCTGGGCGTCCGTAAGTTGTTTTGTAATGTATTTTAACACCTAGATATGCATTAGGGTTGAAAACCATGCTATTCTATCGGTGTGTCAGTCTACACAGCTAATGATGGGTCTAACGTCGTTTTCTTGTTCAGCAATCGCGAGGTTTTTAAACATCATACATTTACTTCCATAGAAAAACAATACAATACAACACGTCAGCTAGTGTTGTACTGTATTGTTTTTCTATGGAAGTAAATGTATGCTGTTTAACAACTTCGCGATTGCTGAACAAGAAAATGACGCATTCATATTCCAATGCCGAGGTTAAGAGAAAGTCGATCCTGAGAGCTTCAACTACATAGTTGAAAAGAAGAATTAATCACGTACAGAGACCATATGGCTAGATAACGCGGTGCATTGGAACCAATGACGATTAAGCTGATGTTGCGATCTAAAACTGATCACAACCCTGCGCCTAATACATAAATTTTTCTATCTTGAAAACAAAAAAAAATTAAAAAAGAAAAGAAAGGAGACAACTTCAGATTTAAAGATATATCAACTTACAGCTTGGAATTATGAAATTCCTTGAGATATTGCTTCTTAAATAAGATCCAGGCGCCGACTACGCTGCATAGCATTAAAAAATTTTTAAAAGGACACTTTTCAGTGAATATATTAAAAATAAAGCAAACACCTGACGTAGAAGAATGTGGATGGTTTCTCGTTAGCTTCAAAACATAAATTTTAGTGACGTCGTTAAGACGTCGATCGATCATCGATAAAGGTAGTGGAAGATCGCAAATGCGAAGCAAACAGTTCGAAATCACACTTCTATGATGTTACGTTTCTTTTCTATTATCGTGGCGCTTCGCCAAAAAAAGGCTCACGATTGTCACTCCTAACAATACATTCTGTCCCTGATCGTTTGAACATAGAGTACTACTAGTGTAGACCAATAATACTACTAGAGTAGACTAATGTAAAAACACTGGAAATGTGTAGCACCCTCTTTTAGAGGTACGTGTAGGAATATTTTCTCATCGAAACGTTTGTCTTATCGTAAACGACTAAAAGATGCGATCTAATATAGACATCCGATTTCAGCAAGTACTATTAAGCCGAGGGCTGGCCCTTCCGTTTCCCCGAAAGTAAGAAAATTTGCAATGGGTTCGCCAATGGCAAACAAAACGTTGACCTTACCATTAACTGAATCCGTGAAACACAATAAAAATGTATAAGTAACTCCTCTGTAATGTCACAAATTCGACATGGAAATTGTTGGTGTCTCAACAATACAGCTCTCCGGATTTTCTCTTACTCTTCTGTTGTTTCGGAAGAAAGAAACGACACGGAAAGAAAACTCGATAATCGACTTCTATTAGTTATAAACAAGCAAGTACCCACCTTCAGTTGTTGTCACCAGAGCATCTTCGCTCGTACAATGTAAAGACGTTTGTGTAACAAAATCACAGGACTTCACATTCATCGTTTCTGGAAGGAAGTACTAGTAATATAGAAGCAAATCCCAACAGATAACAAAGGTAAGAGGTAAACTAAATGAGATTTCAAGGAAAAATAGGTCAAAAATGACAGCGTCAAAAAAAATAAAAAATTCTTGCTAAAGAAACAGGTAGTGAAGAATAATGATGACGATCATGGAGAAATAAATAAGGAGGCGAACCGGAGTAGCAGAAATCGAAGAAAGGCACTAAACGTTTTCTGAAGTGATGACGTCCATACGAAAGAAATGTACGAGAGAAGCCACATCCCGAAAAGAAACTAGAGTTCTTGGGAAGAAAGTAACGACGACAATTCTGTTCTTCCACTACTCGGTGAAACAGCTCAACACCTGAAACCCACCTAAAACCCAATTCGGCAACCAAACAACTAAGACACCTAGCCGGAACACTTCACAGAAATCTAAGTCACTTTGACATAGCTTCAAACGGTACAGTCATTATAAGAATTAAAAAAACTTTGCAATATTCGAACAAGTTCCTGCACATAAAAGTGCATCTTTGTACGAGATTTGCTTAATCATAAAGTAATTAAGTATGTTTACCGCTCAAGCCACCACAATTTATGGTGCATTGGCCGGGAATCGAACTCGGGTCGCCCGCGTGGCAAGCGAGCATTCTGCCACTGGAACACTATATCTCTACAAAACTAATTTCCTTGAACCATTGTGAAAAATGCAGAGATATCCTAATTAAGACTTGCATAGTCGAACTATAACTAATTACTCAATTTACTTTTATTCAACGTTTAAAACATAGTTGATTCCAAAGTATTAGGGTTATTAAACGGTTAAACCAAGTTCACTCGAATGGTCACTGCACTTGTCAGAAAACTCACCATTCAAAAACTCGAAAAATGCTTCATCAAAAAAGCTACCATAATTTCACTTTAAAAATATAGAAAGCAATTCTCCCCCATAGCTTCAGTTTAAAACATACCGAAAAACAGTGAAGTACAACTTATAAACAAAAAGAAAGGAAAATGCAGAGTATAAGACGAAGATACAGCTAATAAACAAAAACTTTCCAAACCACTACACAAGTGGGACCTACGCCATTTGTGTTCCTTTAATGACATTTCACTGTGCAGTACTACCTCTCTTATTCGATGGTACTCTGCAAATTTTCTATCCTTCTAAATGAAGAGTATACTAAAAAGACTTCAGTATGAACAACAACTAGTCCTCCACTAGCTTTATCAGATATTTCAGCTTCAATAAACAAACCTGTTCCCACTACGAGTAGTAATGATTGTAATGGTCTAGCAAGCACAATCTGGAGTGTAACATATTTCCCAAGAGCTGATCGCTAGAAGAAAAAAAGCCCTTAAAGCATTTGCCAACAAGTGTTCGACGAGCAGCAGGAGGATACTAGCACGCTCATTTCACGACTATTATTGCAGCAATACATCATAAAACGTAGAAAATAAATACCCAATAGCTGGAATATCAACATCATTCCAATGGGAAATGTCGAACAATGTTAGAAGAAAGTTATCTACTGCAGCTATAAGTCCGTGAAGAAAGATGCTATACGACTAGGTCATCGTAACGAACCTATCTATGAATCTGATGAAGCTACTACCAGATAGCTGTGAAAACAATCTTCTACAACTCAAACACCCAAAGGCAACTGTAGCACTCTAAACACCACTTGTTTTAAGACACTGAAGGTCATACCTCAGCAATTCGATGGATGACTAAAACTGCTTGCTAGTATCACTTCCGGTCAATAAATGTAATAGAAAGAGCTCCAAAAAAAGACACTGGACTAACAAGGACATTTCGGACGAATTACAGTAGAATAAGGTAGACAAAAGTGATCCTTGTCATATACGGAAGGTCATTTTACGAAAAACAATCAAGGATTTTCCAAGCTCTTTCATGTATGAATGCAACCAAAATCAACATTTATTCTGAAAACGCTAAGTAAATGATGTAGTATGACATTTAGGAACACTGATAGTGTACATAACAGTTACGTGACCTGTGAGACCAAAGTTATAAATGCCGCCACACAAACAAGGGAAAGAAGGATTAAACACAACCACTGCTATCTAGGTATCACTCATAAGATAACAATAAATTAGACGCCAATGTGAACACCTACAGCTTTGTATCCATACATATTTAGGAATATGCACATGTATACATATGCGCTTATGTAGTAAGTTTTAACCACAAATTACGCATTAGTTGTTCCGAACACCAAGACCTTGCTCCAATTCTGCTCTCTTTTGTTGCACTTTTTGGTAGATGTACCTGGAAATAATCACCTTTCATTCACTACAGTTTTGATGATTCGTATACGCAAATGCTATTTTGTACTGAACCCCATTTCCCCCTAAACAGAGCTAATATGAAGGTGTACCACTATAAACATTACCAAAAAAGCTATTAGCTGTATCTGGGTCTACACAGTTGAGCAGCAGGAAGCGAATGCCTCGCGGAATTTTCAACAGCACCGAGGATTTAGTGCTATGAAGTTCTTTCTGCCTTAAAATATGTGTCTGAAACCTGGTTATTACGTAAACACAATGATGACTCGCTCAGCGTTTTCGAATTTGTAGCCGAGATCGGAATGCTGATAGTATCGTGCACTAAAAAGTGGGAGGAAGAATCTCAGTACTCCGACAAACTTCTGCGACCAAAGCTCAAACAAGCCATAATGCATGTCAGACTGTTGGAAATCTAAAGGCAGACAACAGCCGTTAGCGATTACATTCCTCGGGTGTCAAATATACAGCAGGAAGGCCGGCAACAAGACAGTAGGATTTCTTCGAAAGATTCAAGAAAAAAGAAGACAGGATGCTCAGCCTTTGAGCATGCAAGATTCGCCAGGCTATTCTTGCACGTAAAAAAGAAAAGTGCAGACATCACTGGTTCTTTCTCGAGTCACTCGACGACAAACGAGAAGGTATGCGACACAAGTGATCAAAAAAAAAAAAATAAAACAAAGTCACCTGAAAACACCTTCCTGGGTTTCAGGTCTGTAGTAATGGTCAGCACGTCGTTCTGCTTCACCTTCACCAGTTGCTTCGGTCATAGTCTGCAAATCGCACTATCGCATAGAATTGATTTGAACCATTCGAAAAAATAAACTGTACCTTAAGATCCTGGCTTTGGCTCACTAACCACTTTTTTATAAACTCATGTGGATGGTCAGCAAAACGTACATAGAAATCACGTCGCGTTTTCCACTCATTGATCTAGAAAAGTTACTCTGCTATCACTATTAATCAAAAGGTTCTTTCTTACACTCTTATTTTCATTACTTTTACTATCTCCACTCAGTAGTTTACCTACTCATCATGACCTCTCTCGGTGTCGTTACTAAATGTCATTATTATTTGAAAATTGAAATATATAACATGCTAGAAAATAGGAGCTCACTTTCCTGAAGTAGTTCGCATCGAAATAAATGCAAAAACGTTGAGTTTCAAACAATGTTGTATCGGACAGACCTGGTCCACAACGTCATAAATCTTTTGATCCAGGTTAGCAATGTCCTGTGTGTTAGCTTGGGCGTGCACAAACGCCGCCATATGCTGCTTCAGCGGGTCCTCAACTTCTACGTCTATAAGTGAACACGTTTAACCACAAGGAAAAAGTACAAGGAAAGAGACTGAAATGCCTGATCCTCAATGAATCACAACAAAGATTTTCTATTTCTCATGAATCTTAGATCAAGATAGGATAAGCAAACACGTTCGTTATTGCCTTTAAACTTCATCCCTATAAATAGTTAAAATTATCATTTTTAATTTCCTCCAAGGTTCTAGGTACCATATATCCAATATTCTATCCTCGTCAACAATTAAAACATTAACAGCAGTAACTCCCACGTCCGACTTTCTATTACGTTCGACACTGATTGAATAACTTTTTCTACTTCTGTTTAGCAAACACAAGCTGTTATTTTATTTCTTTATTTATGTACAAGCTGACGTTTCGGCGAATATCGTTTTCCTCAGAGCCTGGAAAGGTCAAGTTGAATGCAATCCGCACGGCCAAACACCTCCATAACCAAACAGAGGAAATGCTGAACCAAAATTTCAATCACACTGAACACAGAGTCTTTGTACATTTACCGTTTTCTATGAGTCTTCCACTAAATATATCACGTGGGGAACAACCGCACAGAATTCACATGGAAGCGTAATGTGCCCATCTCATCAGAATAACAGGCTTATATACTGCCCAATATCACGCGTACTTCTCTGCGGTTCATTTTCGGATTTCTGGAATTAATCCAGAACGCCTCGAGAGTTTTGCGCTCTGTGTTCTCGATTCCTGCGCGAGGACCTTAACCCCTACTTCAAAATCTTCTCCGTTATGTTTCTGCGTCCTATGCGTGCCTGGTGGAGTATTTGGTTTACGTTTGCCGACTAGGTGTTCTTTTGTACGGACGCAGAGTGGTCTACCCGTTTCGCCAACGTATTCGTCCCCGCACGCTTTAGAAGCGATCAGATAGACTGCACCCCAACTCATGCAGTCAACACTTCTTCCATTGGGGCAAATTATGCAATTCTGCGTTGCACACAGACGGTCGAATAGGTGGTTACGAACTAGCTGGCGCCTTAGATTATTCGGTGTCATTTCAAATTATCGTTACCGAATTCCCTAAACCGGCCCTTCTTTAGCAGCGTTTTATAGCTGTACTTATTTCATTCGAAATGAAGGGTAGGATAAACAGGACCTTATTGATGTTAGAGTTATCGCTGAGGTACCTGTAGTTTCCTCTACACCTATCTCGAGCTACGGTTTCGTAGCCATTAAAAATGGCTATTTGCCGCGCCAAGTTTCGGGACTCTCTCTGCTTCCTTCCTGTGCACACGCTGGTAGCTTTTCGAAACATGTTTCTTACAAGCGCCCTTTTCGTGTCGGATGGACGAGAGGAGAGGTAATGAGCCAAGATGTTTTTAGTACTTGGTTTTCGGTGCCATTTCGTAATCTAGCCGTTTTGATAGGTTAATTTGCACGTTCAGAAATGGAAGCCAGTCTTTCTTTCGGTTTCTCTCCGGTGGAGTTGACATACTCTGACTGTTCGTTCAACAACTCGAAACATCTGTCAATTTCCTCTTGTGTTCAGCAAAGGACAAAACAGTCACCTATATATCGACAGTGGAGTAACGATCCGAGGTCGATTACTGGTGCTTGCAACTTAGACATGCACGCAATGGCAAAGCTTGGTGCTAGTCATTGCCCCATTGCTAGCCCTCTCATTTGTGCGTAATACCTCCCGGACCATCTGAAGATTGAGCAGTTTAGGCACTCCTTTAAGAGTGTCATCAACTGCTGAACCGAGAAGCCATACATGCTTATTGCTCCTTCGTGTTATATAAGGATCTCGCGGATGGCTCGCATAGCGGAGTCCTTCGACACGTTTGTATGGAAGGCGGTGACGTCGAAGGACTCCATCATGTATGCGCTGTTGGCTCGCGCGTTACGTAAATGATCCAGGAACATCTGGGTATTAGGCTGGAATGAACTTCAACAACTGGGTAAGTATTAGAGTTATTAACCACGTTATTCACATTCACACCTAATCGGCAAACGTAAGCCAAATACTCCACTATGCACGCATAGGACGCAGAGACATAACGGAGATTTTGAAGTAGGGGTTACCGTCCTCGCGCAGGAAGCGAGAACACAGGAGCGCAAAACTCTCGAGGCACATGATATTGGACAGTATATAAGCCTGTTACTTTGATGAGATGGGCACAATACGATTCAATGTGGACTCTGTACGGTTGGTCTCCACGTGACATATTTAGTGGAAGACTCACAGAAAACGGTGAGTGTGCAAAAACTCTGTGCTCAATGTGATTGAAATTTTGGTTCAGCACTTCCTCCGTTTGGTTATAGAGGTGTTTGGCCGTATAGATTGCAGTCAACTTTACCTTTCCAGGCTCTGAGAAAGGGGAAATCCGCCGAAACGTCAGCTTGTACGTAAATGAAGAAATAAAACAACAGCTCGTGTTTGCTAAACAGAAGTAGAAAGAATTAACAGCAATGTTTTCCAACGCACCAATAAACATCTACGAGCAGCGATATCACATAGGAATAAGTTTTAAGCGACTTATAAATCGAAATTAGGTGGTTAACAAGGCTTCTCTAAAATTTCATTTTGGCCTAAAATCCCCTTCTCAATCCATTCTATGCTATCATACAGGGTGGAGTGAAACTACTCCTGGGTGTAAGAAAAAGCTCTACGTAAATCAAAATGTCGGACTTTCCCACGCAGTGACCATCACTCAACTAAGAGATAAAGGACAAGAGATAAAGCTTCAGGCGTTAATCAACTCCTGAGGGATGCACCATGCACTAGTGTTCATCAGGCACCACAGGGTTATTGAATACCTATATGGTCTATACAATGCCCTGCAGTGGCCTATTGATGTATTAAGTCAGTGCTGTTACCTTCCCAGATAGGTCTGGTACCGATCTGCCAACCCTGGAGGGATGGAAGGCTTGGTGTGAGTGGGGCGCTGGAACGAACTCATATGTATTCTAGAGCACATCTAAGCCCTACGCTAGACGCACCCATAACTAAAAGATGGGTACTTAAAAGCTAGCACTTACCTATATCGTAGCAAGCAGTATTTTTCTCGGCTCCGCCTTCATTGTGTTTGATTATGTGGGTAAGAACCTGAAATAACAACTACACTAAGAAATTGAACGATCTTCATAATAAAAGCGTCAATTAAGTTCAACCAGCGGATCAGGTTGTTGGAGAAGTTGATGTAAACGCTGTGGAATTTCCATGAAACGCATTCGTTTACAACTGAACACTTGTTCCAGAAAAGTGTCATTGTTTACGGTGTCATGATCTACGGGATCCTAAAGCACACATAACTAAAACTGGATGTATGTAACGTATCTATGTGAAGAAACAAAATCACAGCTCACAGAAAAATATTCGAATAACTATGAAATGGAAGGACAATACAGAAGAGATACTTCTATCTAACGGCGCCAAAACTAGCTGAGAGAAAGGCGAAACGAACCACCCGCATGAAGAGGTCGTGAATGCGTTAGCCCCCGGGAATGGTAATAGCGCGTTCGACCCGACATCCGCAGACACCTGCGGTGCCGAGTTTTGCGAATACGTCAGCATCACTGTAGTTATATTTCACATCATACCATGCCATAAAAATTACAGTTGGCAGGAAATAAAGGGTTAACACAATATAAAAATGTTTTGCTTCACCAATCAGCACACAAAAGTGGAAGTTAAGAAACTACGACCCATACCTGAAGCTTGTGCGTTTTAATATACTGCCATAGTGCTTCAATAATTTTTGGCCTTGTTTCAGCAGCTATACCAAGAACCTAAAACACCAACGGATTGTATGCCTGTTAAGTGAAAGAAAAGAAAAATTGGAAACAACCTTAGCTAGTCGTGGATGTAACTTGAATTTCATCGGTTGATAATCAAGAAGAAGCAATATAGTGCATTTCACGGGACGATCGCCTGGGCGTTTCACCTAAAACACCTTCCAAGATATGTAAAACTCAATAACATTTAGTTAAGAGGTCCTGACCCTAACCGCTCAAATCTAAAGAACTACAGAAATGAATAGAACTAAATAACAGTGAGAAAAATAAGGGCTGACCTGGAAACCATCCGTTTCATTCGTCGTCGGTGTACGGTGCCATTCAACCAAATGATTATCAGGACCATAGATATCCTTGTCTAGTTCGATAACCTAATTTTCATATCTCGCCGAAATATATCGTCAATGTTGTACTACATTAAGACTAGAAGAACTAAAAGTATTAGAGAACGTGCAATGAAGTCACTCTATATTTTGCAAATATGTACATCTGTCCACGATACATTTGTGGTTCTCCTACAGACTTTTTCACCTTTCAGACTTTTCATTGTAGCGGAACATTTCTTCTCAGATAGGAAACTGTAACATTGGACAATCGACTACCAAAAGCGCACCACAGCTAAGGAATTTGGCACACTCGTCACCGAAAACTTGACCAGGAGTACACTAGTGGTATGGTTTGTTGTTTTCCTGTAAGAAACGTAAGTATGTAATGAAGCACTTCTATTTACCCATGAGTGCTTGCGACTGCATGTGGTGGCAACCTCGGAAGCCCTTGGGCAAGTATTTCAAGAATCTAAGGGAGATAATCACACGAAGTACAAATCACGCGAAAATTACGTTAGCACCCAAATGAATCCTCCTTAAGGCGAGTCATACGTTTCAACTAATTATACCTATTTTAAAAACATTAATGCTATTAGCACATTAGATTGAAAACTAGGTATGGTATTTGGAATGGGACGAAACACACCAAGCTTTTAAAAAATGAGCTGAATTTTTTCTTAGGAAGGGGACGTGCTGCCGGAGCAGGTGTTGAATGTCCAGAAGCAGCGGTAGATCCATTAACCTAAAAAAAACTAACGCAGCAATCCATATTAGTTCAGTTGCGAAGTCTTACACTCACAGTTTCCTATTTTAAGCGTAGCCATCGTATCTCTAAGCAACTATAAACCATTGGATTACAGAACTATTACACAATTCTTTCAATTTTCTAGACCTTTTTACTTACTTACTTACCTGAACGGTCCGTCATCACTAGTTGTGCGGACCCTGGCATAATCACCATTTTTCGGAGATTTGCTGGTTAAGCGATTGTGGTTCCCTGGAATCCCGAGGACAGCCTGGGCAAAGTCTGCCCCAGGTCGTCACCACAACAGGCAGTCGCAGCCCTTGTGGATCAGAGGGAGACTTACCACCATGCGACTTTGATACCAAAACGGTGGTGGATCCCAGTATTGGATTACTCTTAGCCAAGCTTCCTAATGGAAACGCTGAACATTTTCTCAGTCTGGGAGACCCTGCCGGGAGACGAATCCCCCCCTGTACACCACGGTCCGACACCCAGGAACACCTCCTAGCCATGATGTGCCGGTAAACCGTTGGACTTACTCTTAGGCAGTCCTTTTGGTCTTTTCTAGGATATGTAAATTTGCATGTACACAATTAACTGGTCAATATTTCCGAAATGCTGCATGAATAAAAATACGTTGGTTCGCTAGAGTATGTGCAATATACTTGTAACCATCGAGGTTTTATATTGTTTCTTATGTTAATGCGACCTTCGCCTTCGCGTCCTAGTAATTTTGTTAGAACCACTAGTATTTACTTAGAATCAATGTAGTACCAATCGTGGCAACTATTTTCAAAAGATATACATAATTATCACCAAAACCTATGACACGAAAAAGCGTTGAAACACCGGGAATTGTTGTAGTGCTACAGACAAATGAGTGATAAACACGCACAACAAAGGGCTGCTATTGTTACGTTGAGATTTTGAATGTGTTGTGATAAACATGCCCTAACCAGTAACCTACTACCGGTTTGGTGAACGATAAAGTGTTTACATGGAAGTTTATTAGTGGTATCTAACATAGTAAACTCATGAAGTCATTCCTCAACAGACCTGGTCCTCGATCAGTCTTCCTTCAACGCGTAATTCCCACATCGGTACTGAGCCCTCCTCGCCCTCCTGCAACAACAAGCACGCAGAGTTTGTACAAGCAGGTGAAGCCCCTCCTTACTAATCTTTATTCATTTGCAATAATGTAAACGTTTCCTAAAAAACTCGACAAACCTTCTCTGGTTCCTTCCCAGCAATGAACGTATGCGATATATAAATACGAAGCCTCTTCTTCACTTTCTGAGGTCTTTTGAGCGACTCCTGAAAGAAGCTCACCACACGAATAGAAAACCTAGGCTTAACATGGGCCATGTAGTCACTATGCAATATAAAAGATGTGATGGATTGATCCTCTCACCTGAATGTCCAGCTTCTTCCGTGTAATAGTGGCATCCAGCTTCTGCTCAAACGCAAGTAGATCCATGTACGCCTGCGATTCAGGAACGAGCTCCCTTATCTTAACGAATTCGCGACAGTACGTTCTGACATAAGAGTTGTCGAAAAAACACCCTACAGCAATGTATAGACAAACACATCAAACTATACTCTTGATCAAATCCACCTAATAGCGGGCTTCACAATAAATCATGGCTATTGAACCCATCGAGCCTAGGTAACGACTGCAAAACAAATCATTTTTGATAAAGGTAAAGTGGGTGCACATTACATATGCTGAGGATTCCCAAGCCCGATTTTCTATTTACCTCGGCAATGACTGACAATTCACTGTTCATCTTCAATAAGCAACCTCGTGTTTGCTCATTGGAAAAGACAGTGAATTATGTCGTTGTTCCTTAAAAAAGCTTATAAAGGACAGACCATTCCCTATTACCTCACTAACATTACCTTTATCGCTCTCTGAACTGAAACTTCTTATCACGTTCGCACATCCTTAACATAGTTCACCGTTCTTATTTATTATCACTATTTTTTCAATTTTCCTATTAACCTCACTATTATTACCATCACTATTATTATTACTATTATTATTATCTAAATGACAAGCATTGAATCTTAGAAGAAACTTGTGCAAAACGGAGAATAGGACTTCAAAGACGACTGAAAATGTTTTGCTGGTTATGTACCCCCATTGGTCAAAAATATAGTACTACAGATATGATATGTGCCATCTGGCAAGCCAAAAACAATCGAAGAAATATCAGTTGAGGAAGTAGTAACTAGTGGGAATTCTGAGGCACACAAAAAACCCCTTGCATTTTGCTCTAGAGAAAAACCGACCAGCAAATTCTCTAGATGGTAAACGACTTTCATTCACGCTTTATAGAATTTTTGAAAAATATGCTTTACTGTATTTCATGCTAAACATAATTCATGATCTCCAAATTACTCCACACCTCACAAAAATGCATTCAGGATTTTAAAAAATGGCAAGAAAGCACCGATTACGTTTTTTATTTTGTGACCTTCTAAGTGCCTCTGCATACAAATGAAAAGGATCCTCCTGCTGGTAGTTCTGGAAACATCTGCTACTTTTTGAGAGGCCGAAAATGTTATCGGAAGACATGAAATTTAAAAAAAACCATCTGTTAGAAAGAATGGAAAATATACTGTGTAGTACTTTTCATTCACTGCTTTTTTTTAATGGCAGAGTATGACGTGGAACATAACTACAGTGATGCCTGGATATCTGCAACACTCCGCACCGCGGGTGTCTGCGGTGGGGATCAAACCTGCTACTACCCCTTCCGCCAACTAACATGTTCTCCACCACACCATGCCAGTCCTTTGTTTCACCTTTTTTCCGTTGCGTTTTAACCTGTAAGTGCTATCAGCAATTACTCGTCAACAGGATTGATCTGTGGAGCACAAATCGGTATTAAACCCAGCTAAGCCGAAGCTGTAGTATAAATCACAAAGTAGTACATTCACAACAGGTTAAAACATAGCTGAAAGAAAAGCGAAACGGAGGATTCCTGTGTTCTAGGGAAGAGCACGTTAGCTCCGAAAAGGGTAACAGCGGATTCGATCCCCACCGTAAGCACCGGTCCAGAGTTTTGCAAATATCTCAACATCATTGCAGGAAAAGTACTGCTATAACAGAAGTAGAATACAGAGATAGAGCAAGTTATTAACTATACCTGTGGTGAAATCAGCTTATCCGCATATCGCTTTTTTTTCCTCAGAGGCTGCGAAACCCGACTGGTCTGCATAGGTGGACCTTGGGAGGTGATTTGAGGGGCGCCTGGCCTTCGCATCGTTGACTGAGGGGTTGTGCTGGGCTAAATCTCAACTTAAGAAAAATTCACCAAATGCATTACGTAAGCAACCAGAACGTATGCTTATGAAACTAGGAGCAATATGGTAGAATTCTTCTGAGACTTAACGGTCTAAGATTCTTCGAGAATGTTTCGTTCTAGAAAAGATTCTAAGAACATAATGAATAAGCAAAAATTGTACAATCTTACCTGCAGTCGTGGGTACCAATCTTCGACATCTGTTCCGAGAACAAAGAAAAAAGAAAAAGAACAGATTCTGCTGGAATCCACGGCACGCAATTCGAAGATACGAAAGACATAGTCAATAACTTGACAATATCATGCCATCCAGAAACTAGTCTTAACCTTAGGAACAAACTCGAAGATTCCGAACTATCCAGAAACTACGCTTAGTCTTAGGAACAAGCTCGAAGATCCCAAACTATCCAGAAACTACTCTTAGTATTAGAGATAAGCTCAAAAGTCCAAAACACTTTACATTTTTCATGCCGTTAACTTCAAATCATCTGACGACTCTACTGTCCACACTTCATGAAATGTAAACAAAATAACTACTTAAAACTACCATGCTTACTGATGAATTCCACAAACCTGAGGGGGATAACGTCCCAACGGTTGACATGGTGTCCCTACAGTTCGTTGTTGTTGCATTACTGGACGACCAGGATGTGGCAAATGATCCACGAGTGAACAGGACGGACTTTCAACGGATTCAAATAAAGTCGACGTGAATCGAAATCATACCGTAATCCAGTTAGATACGCAGGTCTCCATCATCGATCGGCCTCGTGATGCGTCTGCACACTTGTCGCCGTCCGGTTTTCGAATGTGTGAGGTTTCATTCCTCAATTCGCGTTCACCTTGTCTTCTCCTCATTAGAATCAATGTGTTTACGAAGAATATAACTGGTTTAGAAACTCTTACCCAATTCCGTGGAAGCTTCCCGAATCTTAGAGATAACGTGGTTTCTTCGTTTCACTTAGGAATGTCTCCTCAAACCCTTTGTAGCTTCACAAGTCCTGGATTCCCGTTCCGGACAAGTCCGTTTTCTTTGTCTCACGTACAAATAAGTCTTATTCTTTCTTTAGCGCGATCACAATTCGACTTCTGTAGTTAAGACATGATGTTTTCAGACTTTCTCTTACCTTTATAGGATAGGACGACGTACGTTCAACTACTGGAGCTCGGTGTCGTTCAACATCAACGGTGAATATGGCATCTTCTCTTCATGGGTTGACCTTATATGCTCAAAATTATGTGTAATGTTTATCTTTTGCATAAAGTGTCATAGTTATTGCTATATACAGTTACTGGTTTGTTAAGCAGTGGCTGTTATTTTGTTGTTTGTAAAGTGTAGAGTCATTTTAGCTAGGCTTAGTATTGTGGAGGGTGTTTCATTGTCTCTGAATTAGTGTTCACCAGTAGTTTTGTTTTGTTTATTGCTTAAGGTTGAAGGTGATAGTGGACTGTATAGAAGGAGTTATGAAGTATGTGCTTACAGAAAATCGAAGTTTTCACTACTGTGTAGATACATGCAGCTTTGAGAACCCTTCGCCAAGTTGTGGCCTAAATGTGTCCCACCAGCCCGTTGTTGGTCAACCGGTTCTGTCTACGTACATAATAGCGATCGCGATCATGCTGGTTTTAAAGAGTTGCTAGTTTAACTAGAGGATATGAAAGGTTACGCTTTTGTTAAAAGTGTAAAGTGCGGCATGATATTCTGGCGTAGCTGCAGGTTTTAGCAGTTCTACCTGCACAATTTTGAATATTACTCTGTGATGGTCGGACATTGTTCGTTGATTGGATATAAGAATTTGAAGACGAATGCAACTAGTAACGTGTTGATAACCCACTTAAGCAGAGGGTCAGAAACATAGCCGTGGTTGTTGATATCACTGCGGCTCTGGGAAATAGGCGGAATTGCCAAGGGAGTTGTAGTGATGTTGTGTGTAAGACATTTTTTTCTGTAGGAAAGTTATATGCCATTGAAGGGGTTGTACGGACCGATCTGTTACCTATAATCTTGTCAAATGTGTGGCAACAAAAAGATACGGCTTTCGAGATGTCAGGGATAGGTTTGGATACGAGGTAGATGAGTTGATAGGGTATTATTTTAGCCTGTTACATTTCTTAGTGCAGTTCATACATAGGTTTTCTGTTAAGTTGCAAGGTTGGCTATATCTGTTATCCTTTCGGGGTGTTTTCTGACATTGGAGTGTATATGAGAGGACTTATTCTCCTGCAGTCTTTCCAGTTTGCTTTCTTCCTTTTTTCTTTTGGCCTTCAGACACTTTGGTGCTGGTGTTCGCGAAGAAATCGACATTTCTTACCGTAAGAAGGGAATGTACGCTTACATTTCAGATTATATAGTTTCTGCAGTTGTGGTCGGGCACACTGCTGGTGAATTCTGTGATAGCGTGACCACCGTGTCGTTTTACAATGTCTTCTGCTAAGGAAGCAGCCAACGAGTATAAGTATGTTTATCGATTTTCTTTATGCAAACGATAGGAACTTCTACCCAAAGAATAACACTAGATTTTTGTGCTTGCAGTGTGAACTGGACGTTTTGGATAGAATTTGTAAAATGATAAATAACAGGGCATTTTTGAAGAATTTACTGTTGCCACTGGTTACGAGTAAGGTCGCCTTGCATTGTGCTCAACAACGTGCTATCTGAGAGAAAATGCATTCAGCGAAGTAGTCTTGTTGTCAATCGATTCACGGTTTTTTGTTGTCATCAATAATCAACTGTTTGGAAGGACATTATTGGGTCATAAGAAAAAGTTGTGCAGCAAAAATGTATGTCTCCTCCCTCTCAATTTCTTGTATCCTTTTGTGAACATAGTTTTATCTGGCATTGAGACCTAAGTGAAAGTCCTGAGAAGTCGAAGTTGGTGAGCTTGCATGTTTTTTTAATTAAGGTATGGGTCTAGGTGAGGTAACTAGCCTCAAAGTACTTCATTGGTGAAGAAAGGGATCTTTATCTGAGATGACCTACAACCTAGTGTGTTTCTTAACATTGCCGCTGTATGAATCTCGGTTAACGACAATTACCTACGGACATATTTGTTAGGATTTACGAATGCCATGATAGTTTATTAGTACTGGATCAGTTACAACTAATCCATGCGACTGGAATTGCTCCATAGTTCCCCGAAATTGTATAGGAAACATCGCAGTAAGTTTAGTGTTTCTCTTCGATAAGCAAACACGAGGTTGGTACATCGAATCATGTTGAACAAAAACAGTGAATTATCAATCAATGCGGAAATTAATAGAAATTGGGTTTCGGACATCGAAATAAATGTTGGATGAAAAGTTCATTGACTAGATAAATTCAGATTGACGTTGGATGAATTGGTGAACAATAATAAAACACAAATAAACCTGCTGACCATTCTTGCTGAAGATTACCAACAACACGCAGCCGCCATAGTTGAGACTATAGAGAAGCAAATCTTCATCGTGAGTTCTTTTTTGCGATATTAAAGGCTTGTCTACAAAAGAATTGCTGTTTTGTCCAATGCACCTACAGCATTGTTTCTTAGTAATAGGTTACGTTGGGTAGAACGTTGTTAAGGTTTTTAGGTGCCGAAAGCGCAGAAATTGCCTATTATGTACGTCGCGGATTCAATAATGAAAAACGTTCCTAATAGCGACTATAGGGATCTGTTCGCTAAGATTATTGTTCGCGTTTTCCTCCATGTCTTTTTAGAGGTAAGTCTTCAAGTTCTCCTTAACTTTTTCTCATAAAATTGGACTGTTACAGGGCGATGAAGCTGTTCGCTCGGCAATGTATCGCCTTCGGCAGACTTGGGGTGACATATTCAACCGGTCAAAGCTCTATCAGCTGGACATCAAAGTGAACGAAGTTGATCGAGCGTGGCCGCTCACTGCATTAAAGCAAGGCGCAAAACCTCCTGTGATAACGAATCCGGCACCAGTCACGGCGCCAACAACCACTGTGCCATTGGCTAACAAATCAGTTCACGGGAAAGTCCACGTCAATCCAAAGTTCATTCAGAACAACGGACAAAATACCTCGGTATTCGATTTCGTACTGATGCCCTTGTTCCCAATAAAATATAATTTTTTTGTTTCATCCATAAATATTATTGAAATTTCCGAAAGTGAACTGTTAACTCAGTTGTTCTATCATTGCCTCGGTGTAATAATGTTGAAACAGCGTCGCCATGAAACTGAATGTTCCCAAAACTACCAGATGGGAGGGTCTATGCTATGGTGCAAACGATGTATGTCGATCGGTAATGGGTCGCATATCAGCGCCTTTGTTCCTGTCAGTATGCAGTATAGATTTAATTATTTTTTTGTCTCTGAATCGCACGGACGTCGAGCTGTGATCACAGATTCACTTCGTTACCTATCAAAGAATAAGGGTTATTTGAAATCCGGCGAAATAAGATGCTTCGAGGGTGTCGAACATCAATAAATCCATTACGAAGTCTTTTGTCTGAAAAAAAGTGGATTAATCTTTAACTGGGCAAAGGTATAGCTTTACAGTACTTGTCTATTGCAGATGCGAATTAAGCTATGCAATATAGATAAACATGAAAACGTCTGTGGTTATTTTCATGACCTATTTTGCATTCGTGGGAATGTGATCTAGATGCAATCTACTTGGCAGTGTACTCTGCTAAAAGTTACCTTTTTTCTAAATTGTAGAACCAAACACCTCTGTTCTTGTCGTAGTTCATCGTCAGTACACTTAGTCACTGTTGATGATACTTTCTTGCCGAGAGACGGATGATAAATTGTGAAATAGTGTCAAATTTGAATTTACAGAGTGATGTCGTGTCTAAAAAGTGCGTTAAATCCGATGGTTCCAAGCGAGTCCGGTTCAGAACTGAGGATCTTAAAGAGCCGAAGAAGGAGTTAATGTACGTGTATCATGAGTTTGGAGAGTGGAGTAAGAATGAGCGTGATGTGAGGTTAACTAGGAGTCGATTTCAGCGACGAGCTCTTGGATTTGCCTCCTGTTCGGGGTTGTGATCGAGTAATTAAAGTGGAGCCTGACGAGCCAACTCCTCCCGTTGAACTCAGTCCTCAGTCATCGAAGAGAAAAGCTGGTTTACATGATTGTCTGCATGTGGATCCGAAGCGGAGACGTTCACCTCCAAAAACACATGACGAAGACCTTCGAGCTCTTGCTGCATATGCTAAGTGAGTGCTTTGAACGGCAATAAGTATGGTATCAACCTTTGCCATAAGTTGTGACACCTATGCTGTTTCTTGTTTTGGGGATGACATTAAAAAATTCCGTAGGATTTTGCTCGGACATTTTTCAGTGTCTTGCTTAAGTTATCCTTTTATCCCTCAGCCTATTACTAAGTGAATTTATCGCAATTAGACCTATAATCGAATATTCTCTAAAATGTTTGCACTTCAATAAGTCGTGTTATTTGATTGCTTTATAGACTTATTTCAGTAAGGACGGTGTTGTCAAACCAACTCCAATTGTTGGTTCCCATGCGTTTACGGTACAAGCTAAGACTTCGCTGAACAGAGCTCAGCAACAGCTCCCTCTTCAAGGGCGGTCATCACCTGTATCTAATGGCCTTCCGATCTCTGCAGCCCATGTGCCACAACATCCAGCAACAGGGAATGGTCTCCCGATGCCGCCAACATTCCATGTACAGACCACGATTTCAAATTCTGGAGGTTTGCCAATGCCTCCGAACTACCACCCTGCTGTTGCACCATCCACTTCTACTCTGCCAATGCCTCCTAATTATGCTGTCCCTACAGCTGCAGTTGCTGGTCCAGGTGGTCTTCCAATGCCTCCAAACTATGTGCCTCCTGCAGCCACCTCTACGGTTGTGCCAATTCAAGCACCACAAGCTCGAGGACCGAGCGGTTTTCCAATGCCACCAGGGTACCGGCCTTCAACTTCTAGTCCTGCATTGCCTTCTGCTCCTCAAATACCTTCCGGATCGAATGCGGTAAGTGGTTATCATATATGAGGGACTGAAAGATCACTAATCGGAGTATCAAAAGAATATGAAAGGTATAGGTTTGGTTCAGATTATAACAGCGGAAGTACCAACTAAATTGGATATACCGTCCAACAACCGAATTTTCGTTGACGGGAAAGCACACGAAGTGGAGTACGTGAACGATATTGCTGTGATAGAGCGCAATGGTTTACCTCACAAGTGTGTTTAATATTTGTTAGATAACTCAGCTGTTCTTTCAATTATCTAAGATGATGCAGGTCGAACGGAAATTTTTAGGATATTTTTCGCTGGGACACCACGAAATGTTATATTAGACGGTGTACCTCACCTGTTACATTTTGGCGAGTCAAAAGCGGTAGTAATTGATGGCCAAGAGCACATCTTACGCTTTGGAGCACCTAGTCGAGAGTTATATTTGAATAACTTCGCATTCAGAGGGCAGTTTGGCGGTGAGGCATTACGAGGAGTCATTATCTTAGTTTTGACAAATGCTGTATTTTCTGTATCGGCATGCGTGTCCTAATGTGTCTTATCCTCCAGGTGCACCCATTGTTGCCACTATAAATGGTCGACGACACGAAATTCGCTTAGCGGGTCCAGCACCAGATGTCAAGATAAATCCTGATCCAGCTTATGAACTAACTGCTGAGCTGAATCGAATTCGTGCAAGCAAAAGCGAAAACAAGCCAGGTTTATAAGAAATTATTAAAGCAGCATTATTTCCTTTAATTTCCGGCATTTAGAACCTTCGCTGGATCCTTTCAATCTTCTGAAGAAGTTGCAACAAAGTGGGTTTTTGAAGAAGCCGGAGCCCGTCCCAGCGCCTGCTCCTAATCCCTCTACACGTGATCGTCTAAGGCATAATAATACTATGTTACGTGATTCCACGCCACCGATTCCCAGTGAACACAGGTAAGGGCACTGGAGAAACAAGTGTTTTTTTGTTTCAACCGGTTTGTTGGATATTTTACTCACTTTAACTCTGAGGAATAATCGACACAAATTCGCTTATGTGGGATAAATGTTTGCTTGGTAAAATACCACTCTCTTACACGACCCATCTTTCACATCGCATGTGCGAACCCCAACACTTCTCGCATTCGATTGATTTCTTCGCATCCATCATTCACGAGGGTCTTCCACCTTTTTACCGGTGGCTTTGGCTGCTGCGTGATGGTTTATGCGTTTGTTTTGAATTTGGTTGAATTCTGGTCAAGCAATTCTCCATGAAGTCTTGAGATAACTGCCTAGAGCGTTCCGACTTGGATTGCAGAAAGTGATTTTTTCCCAAACAAGTCCGGTACCAATTTGTCAACCCCGGAGGGATGAGAGGCTTTGCGATCCTGGAGGAGGATCGAACCAGCACTGTTCTTGACGATTGGTATCGCTACCATTGTGCTTCATGTTCTCTAAGCAGTACCTACCAGTCAGTTCTAAAGAACACTTCGGTGTTTTCGAGTAGAGGAAGTGGGGAACTCCGGATCGTAGCTTAATCACTAGTGTGTGTTTATTGTTCTTACTAAATCTATCATTGTTTCAGTGTTAGCGTAGTGGAACGAAGGTCAATTCCTACGGCTCCGTTGAAAGAATTCAATATGCGAACCCTTAAAATGTGTGTTTTTGGTTTTCGGTTTTAATCTCTCCTGTGGTTAATATAAGTTTCCACCGCCTATAAATAACTTTAAGTCGATATGACACTGTTGTTGATGCTCTTCATGAAAAGCAGCAGAATGCATGTCCACACTGTGGCCAAAGAATGGAATTGCGTGGTGAACGATATGAACGGCATCTGGACTGGCATGTGAAGCGGAACTTGAAGACGTTTGAGAAGACTAACACTAGTCGTCCATGGTATGCAAGTAGCAAGGTATGTTAAAATGTCCATGAAACCTGTGAAGATTATGAAGAACGCGAATTTCACAAGTATGGTGGGGCTATGTTAAGATTTATCATTTGCGGTACTTCTCATGAACTTGTCAAGCTTTTCAAATTGCTCACTTTTAATGGGGTTTTAGATGAGAGGTCTAAGTGGTTTTTCAAATATTGTTCCCTTATTTTCATCAGTGATATTCATCTAGGACTGGCTTAAATGTGAGGAAGAGGAAGAGTCAGGCGTGACTGCTACGAGCGGCACTGCAGGTTTGTACAGAAAACTTGTATTTTTTTTCTCGTGTATTTTACCTTACTAGTAGTTTCGGTTACAAAATTCTCTTAAATACGCCTTACTTTAGAAACTATGGAGGAATCTGCGCCAGTTATGACAGTTTCAGCAAGAGAAGCCGTCAACAGAGTGCGTTTGATATTTCTTTAGTTTTTGATGTGTCTTTCTTTCATGTTAAATGTTTTAAGGTTCAGTATTTCTGTCGTTTTTTTGGAAATATACGATTTTTTTTTATTCAGAACTGTGTCGTTTGTTGTGAGGAATTTGAGGAGTATTGCGACGAAGATGACGACGGGGTTTGGAAACTTAAAGATTGTATTATAGTAAATAATCAGGTATGTCTTTTTTAGATGTTGTATTTAACCTTCTAGGGGCTTCAAGTGAGTCTGGCCCAACATATTAGATTAACAACTTTTCCAATTCTTTTAGACGTATCACTCGGCCTGCGTCCAAGATGCGTCACTTCTTGATGTAGCGTCTTCTCAAGAACATCCAGATTCATGTGATATTAAAAGTGTTGTAAAGGATAACAAGCTGTTAAATCTGTTAAAAATATCTCAATAGCAGCGCAAATCAACGCGGAAACTACAGAAAAGCAAAAATATTTGTATATGGTGGCGGTAAGAGTCGTAGCACATATGGGCTGTGTCTGAAATCGAGCTCATTCGTTCCGCCTGGCTTCGGGATATTCGTCTAAATTATATGCATTAAAAATACAATAAACATTTTCGTTCATGTTTTTTGTCATTTGATTTTTTTTGGTCTACAATTGTGTGCTGGTCGTCGCTAATAAAGTTATAAAGTCATGTCACTTGTTTAACATAATGGTTGTGCACCGGTCCACTTTGATCTCGTACAACTAGAGATTTCCACTGTTTGTGATTGGGTATAGTAACAAGATTTCGAAACATGCAAACGAATGCTTGGGATTGATCACATGTCCTGACCACGGGTTCAAACGCTCTACCGCCTCATCGTGGGTGAGAAGTGTTCTTGGGTGTCGGGCTACGATGTACAGCGGAGGAATTCATCCCTCCAGCGGGGACTCTGAAGCTGAGAATGAATCCGGCGTATCCTTCAGGAAGCCTAGCTAAAAGTAGACCCACACCAGGATCGATCACCGTCCTGTAACCAAAATAGTCGCAAGATGGGAAATCTCCCTCTGGTCCACAAAGACCGCGAATGCTTGTGGTGGTGACGACCTGAGGCAGAGTTTGCGCAGACTAACCTCGGGACTCTAGGGAACCACAATGGCTAAACCAGCAAAACTCCGAAAAATGGAGGTTACGCTGGGGCCCGCCCAACCGGTGAGGACGGACCGTCCAAGTATCGAACTATGTTAATATTATCATGGTAACACAAAAGCAAAAGTGGGAAATGCGTATATCCACATGGGAATTGCTAACAACAACGCAGACTTGAAATAGCCGCCGTAGATGAAAGAGAGATGGATGTGTCAGTAGGTCTTCACCCATCAATCTGTTCAACTTCCGTGGGTTACATTCTTTAAATATAACTGATGGTGGGGCGTGTAGCGTGGTGGTCGGAGGCGCCTTGCAATACGCATGGGATGGATGGTCTTACCCAAAGATCACGAAGTCTTCCATTTCTCCGGGATCCGCAAATTGGAGCTGTACTTGTCTGGGAGGTTAGCAGCACTGGCAGGATACATTGCTAGGCCACCGCGAGTCATTGTAAAGGCCAGATATGCATTCTATCACCTCCAACGATGCTTAGAGAAGTCGAATGCATGACGTACGCCGCAGGAATTGACCAACGCCGAGAGCTTTATCCTTTCATCTCTTTAACATATGTTTCTTACCACTTTGCAGTAGAGCTAACGCTACATTCATATCCATCCATTGGTTTAAAATGGAAGCAGTAATGGTAATTACAATATTAATGAAATCAATGTAAATATTATATCATTGCGGTGTCTTGACCCTCATCAATGAGAACATTTTAGTGTTCCCGATGTCTACGCTCGCACTTTTGGTTGAGGGTAGCGCATGTGCATGGGGACGACTGGCGCTCGCTCATGGCAGCGAAACCATAAATGATGTCATTAGAGCTTTGGTAAATGTTTTTATCTTATCCCTTAACTGAATTCTATTATTTCGCAACAGCGAAGAGCATCTAGTTCTTTGTCAGACCACAGATTCCAGATATCCTTTGCAAATGCGTATCTATCAATGTCTGCATCTAATCATTTACTTCTGTTCACCTTTGCCAACAAAATAAAACGGCGTGTAAGTGAAATTCTTGATTTTTTTGTAAGACCATGTGGCTTCAGTTTTCTAGTTGTGCCGTGATTGTGTTTAGCTCCACAGTATTTTCATTTTTATTTACTTCTGCAAACGAAATACTACCAGCGTTCAACGTTTTGCATTCGTTGGATCGGCACTGTTTGGACGGTCTGTCTTCACGAGTTGTGCGGACCCCAGTAGAGTTGCCATTCGTTTCTTTCCCTCACAGACGTCATCCGTGGTGGTTGTTTTCTTCGATCATGGTGGTGCGTGCGTGTCTCATATCGTGATCTGCAAAATAAGTGCCGCCGCGACTACGTCCCATTAACTTTGTTTACGTACACCACCGCCCAAACGTGTAGGTGACCGTCCTAGGGGACGTTTATATTATCGTGGAGTCCAATGTACAGTTCTTTTCGCCCATCTGTTCTCCATTCTTCACACTATGTGACTGGTCCATGGATCACGAGAATAGGATCGATATCGAAGGTCAGAGCTTCACATTCCGGCTAGACGTTGTGAATGTCGGTTAACTTTCAGAAAACATCGTTTAGCCCCCTGCGAATAGTGAGCACTTTTCTTGACGTTATTGAAGTATCAGCCCATATCTCTGCAGTATAACAGAGCGCTGGTAGGACCATCGAATCAAAAAGGTGGGCGCGAATTTTCGGGTCCTTTAGTTGGTCAGTGGCTTTTTTTATAGATCCTAATACTGCCCAAGCTGCTCTTCTTCTGTCTGATTCCTCCTTCCTGTTGTTTTCCATCTTCATTGATCGCCCAAGGTGTACGTACGAGGGGTTTTTTTACAACGAGAAAACCATCCTGTTTGATACGACCGCCTTTGCACAATGGGTTTTTCATGAACTGGGTCTTCTTCCGATTTATACATAGTCCTATCTTTTTCCACGGTTCCTTGAGCTCGCTGATCGCCGTCTCTGCTTCGCTGGTATTTCTTGAGAAGATGACGATGTCGTCGACGAAACGGTTTAGTAGGAACTTTCGCGTATGCTTTTCCCATACTAATCGAGTGACTTCATTTTCCACCGCATGCGCACTAAGCAGTTTTGGCGATATTATGTCGCCCAGTCAAACCACTTTTCATATGGATCTGGTAAGAGTTTGATGGAAAAGCTGTATTTTCACAGTACAGTTCCGATAACAGTCAGACAGAGTTCTTATATAGGACGAGAACGAGTTTCCATGGAAGAGACGTGCTGTGGATAGGAGTCCTGCGAGATGGTCCACATTCTTATTTCTTTTTCCTAATCCAAAATTTCCGATCCTGTATTCGCTGTCGTTAGCTTTTCCTATTCTGGCGTTGAAATCTCCAGCAACAAATTTATAACACGCTTTATCATTACGGATAACTTCCTTCAATTGGTAATAAAACGCATCTAATTCGTACTCATTATCTGCATCAGTCGCTGAATAGCATCTGATGACTATGGTCTTCTTATGACGCTTTGGTTGAAGACGGAGGACGGCTATGCGAGGGAAAAGGATCTCGTAACAGTCGAGGAGATGGATAGTGGACGGATGGATGACAAAACACGTTCTGATGGGACGTTTTCTCTGCGGCGGCCCCGTTGTTTACTTGGTGAATGTCGGTCTTTCCATTTTTTCTTTCTTGTAGCGCTACCACATGAAATTTGATGCGATTTGCGACTTCAAGAAGGGCGTGAAGATCGGCGTCTGTGGAGATTGTTCTGGCATCGTACGTGCAGAGTAAGGAACAGCATCCATGTCGTGTTGTGCACGTGTTCGTTAGATCCGGTTCCGGTGGTGTCTTGCGTGACCTGAGATTTTGTGGTCTCTGAATGGTCGGCTCACTGCGTGACGTCATAGACGGGAGTGCCCAGCATGCGGGGTAGTGAGGCTGGCCTATTGCTGGTTGAGCGATTTGATCCTCCCTGGAGTCCTGAGTTAGCCTTGCAAGGACGTATCCAGGTCTTCACCACGACGTGGATCCGAGGAAATTATCTTTTTGGTAACAGTTCCTTCAGTCGATCTTGATTTGGAAACGATGTTAAAACCGAAATCACAAACGAAAGTATGAATGGAAAAAAAATGACCGGTTGCTCAAGGACGATGTTGAACCAGAGTTCCTTATCGCATGTATACATCTGGTTAATCAGTTTGTTATGCATGCTAGTGTAAAGCAATGAAATAGCGTAGGTATTATGGTACTAGGCGATACACAATGTATATGGCTAGAATCGGGGTGTTTACGAAAGATTGTTTAGCGATGTTTACAATTCAAATAACATACTGATGAAACTTATTTAAATACATTTATGGTTATGGTTATCCTTTTTCTGAAGATGCACTTTAACAGTTTTACGAAATTTTTTATTTTAGTTTCTATATAACTCGAGACGATCTGCTGTTACCGATGCTTCCACTGAAATACTGAATGCCTTACGCAATACTTTACGAGATAGCGCTCAGTCAGACGATGATCGAGTAGGAAGTCCTCTGGCTGCTGTGCTCTCCCACGCTCTCTGCCGTACGTTCTGTCAATGGATGTTCTTCAGCTCTCTATCCTGAATTCTAAGTGTTTGATTCATTCTACTTTCAAGTTTGCAGAGTCGTACGTGCTTTAGATCTGAAGGGTACAGAGAGATTTCCTTCGGATGGTAGAGATTCTGTACAGTTGATTTCCACTGGTAGAGTAATTATTGTCGCCATGACTGTTGATTTTGGCACAGAACACGGTGAGCGTTGATAGTGTTCATTTGAAATGCTACTGCTTAAGCGAATCCCTGTTGTATAGCATCCCACTTCCTATTCCAAATTTTCCATCTTTTTTTCAAAATCCCAGATTCCAATTTCTGAATTGTATCTTCACATATCCTACCAGCGATTTACCGCCTCATAATGGCTTCGAGGTGTTCCTGGGTGTCAGGTTGCGATGTACAGCGAGAGTATGAATCCCCCAGCAGGGTCTCCCAAGCTGAGAACGAGTCCGACGTTTAAATCAAGAAACCTAGCTAAGAATAAACCAATAGCAGGATCTAGCGCCGTCCTGGTATCAAACTAGTCGCATGGTGGAAAATATGCCTCTGATCCACAAGGGCTGCAGCTGCCTGTCGTGGTGACGACCTGGAGCAGAGTTTGGCTAGGCTGTCCTCGAGATTCCAGGGAACCACAGTGGCTTAACCAGCAAATCTCCGGAAAATGGTGGTTATGTTGGGGCCCGCACAACTAGTGATGACTGGCCGTTCAAGTATCTCAGTATACAAGAATCTTCGTATACAGCATTATGACAGTGAACACGTTTAGGTCCGCTGATGAACCTGTTCTTTTATGCTGCCAAACATGGTATCTGTGTTGATGTAGTGTCATTGGTTGAGACGAGTCCACTTCTTCAGCAGGCCACTGATATCACTAGTGGCATTTTCCTGCAAGTTGGACGGCCTTGTAAACTACTTAGCAGTATGATGGTATCTGTAACTGTAGTTCTTACTTTTTTCACCAAGTGAAAATCGCACACACACAAAAAGATAGCCGGTGAACGTTGAAATTTTAGATTATCATAAGACTTACGGCCAGCTTCCTCCAATTACTTATCCTTTTGGTAATTTCTAATTTTTCAAACCGCTTAGACAATCAGCAAAAAATGCAACGGTTTTGGGCGATGTTATAAGGATAAAAGAAAGGAATAACTGGTGAATTCTGTCAACTACAGTTTACAGGCAAAAGTAATATAGTAATGGAATAAACAAAATAAAGTGTTTGCTGTCACGGTGTATTCTTCTTCTAGCTCTATTCTTCTTTTTCAGACATATTTACTTGGAGAGCCATCATCACGGTCCTTATTTCCGCAACCATCATTGAAGGTACCATTTACTTGTTACCTCTACTCGGATACTTTGATGTCTTCATTGGCCCCAGCATACGAATTCCTAAAATCGATTCCATCTGTAAATGTAGATGGTTGGTGTTAGCCACAAATACGTCCGCCCATCGTTTACGTGGTCTTCCAAGATGACACTAGTATTCTCTTGGAATCCACTCCACTGTTGCTTTCGTCCACCTGTCATCTGTTCTTAATATGTGACCAGTTCATCTGCATTCCTCCATCGACGTATTTTCTCCCGTATCCCGAAGATGGGATAGGTTTCGAATATCTAGGATTCGCATTCCGACTAGATGTTTTGATTCCCAGTTAAATCCCAGAAGACATCAACCATGCACTCTGTGAATAGTGTGCAGTATTCCTGACGTGGTTGAAATATCAGCTCACGTCTGTGCTGCGTAACAGAGCGCTGTGAGGATCGTTGAATCAAAAAGGTGAGCACGAATTTTCGGGTGCTTCACTTGGTCGGTGGCTTCTTTGAGAGGCCGGAATACTGCTCATGCTGCTGTCCTTCTTACTATCTTGTTACATTTGGATTTTGAAAATCTCACAGAGGTCTCATATATGGTTATGTCTGGAATTTACTTCATCACTCATCTTTAGACCTCATATGTTAACCCAAGCCGTCTTAAATCTATGAGGTTGTAGCAGATTAGTCTACGAACCGTAGAATATTAAGCGTTCATTGGTGGACCCGTACAACTTATTCATTACAAATTGAATTTGCATTCGATGCCTCAGTGATGAATGTTACTAGTCGGTGAAGTTTGTTCCACCCGATCACTTATAGCCCTACAAGTCATGCAATGACTCGATTCATAACAGTAGGATTTCCATGTATACGTGTGGCGTACAAACAACGATTATTGGGCTCTGCTCGATTGAGCGACATAATAAGCATTATGCTTTAGGTTTGGTACGTCCTCTTTCTAAGGTTTTTGATGAGAAAGTACCTGTCAGCAGTTCGCAAGACTACGCAATGGCGTTTGGATTTTATGTTTGATAACCCAGGTTTCCCGATGTAGACATTTGTCTTACTTATTGGAAGGGATTCGAACTGCATCTCACGTACTTCTCATTCACTTGATTCCAGATCATCGTCATATTGACGTACAGGTTAAATTATGAGCAAAATATAATAGTCTCAGATTTTAGGAGGTTGATTATCGTGCCTCTTGCGCATGTCATCATGAATTGGTGTCATCTGGTTGGGTGTGTTCTGTCTGCTTATCCGTACTGTGCCAGTTCATGCCGATTTGTAAAGCATGCGGGTAAGGCGTTCTTGAGTTTTCCTTTTCTACGGTTTCATTAAAAGGCAATGTTTTCGCCAGTGATGTTTTTAAGCGGTTTTTAGTGCATTAGTATAGAAAGAAATTTACCATTACAGTGCTATCTTCAAAGTGAATACATTGCCACGGAAAACTCAGAAGCGAAAACGGAACTAATGAACTTTACTGGTAACCTAACTGGAAGTGATTAGATGTTAGAATTAATAAAGTATATTACAAAGCATTGTTCGATTGTTTCTCCATGTCCTAAACTCATGGTTGTGATACTTGCGTTATTGTGTCGGTTTCTCAACGTTTTCAACACTAACGATTTCTAGAAAAACTGACTAACGTTGCAGAGATAGAAAGATAGATCTTCCGTGAACAGTATAGAGTGATTGGCTAGAGTATACGACACGGTGTAGATAGAAAATATATGTACTGTCAACCAGTACTGGACACCGCAATCTCAAGTGTTTCACGAGTACGTATTCTTACTCATTAGGCCATACAAAACATTTTTTATTGAAAGCAGTTCAAGTAGTGATTGGTAAGTGTATCCATGATTTCGAACTCAGGGATATATTTCGAAGTTGGTGCACTGAAATAGGAAACGAACGAAAACGTTTTCTTTTATGGAACATCTAAGCACATAGGCTTTGTTGATTTTTAATTTTAGAAATATATCAAGAGCTAGAAGAATCATAAAAAGAGTAGGGCTCTCAGGGTTGATCAATCCCTTGGGGTTGCGCCATACATTCGACATCACTAAGCATCCTTTGAGGTGATTGAATGCATATCTGGCTTTTACAGTGATTCGCGGTGGCCTACCGATGTGTCGAGCCAGTGCTGCTATCCTCCTAGACAAGTATGGTGTCATTTTACTGACCCCGGATGGATGGAGGGCTTGGTGGGCTAGGGAGGCCGGATGGAGCCCATGTGTATTGCAGGGCGCCTCTGACCACTGCGCTACACTTGTGTCAGGAAGGGGAGAGTCACACAGACGGAAATTGAGAAAAACACGGTTATGTGTGGACGTCGACATTAACGTAAATAAGCAGTGCTCACATTTGAGTGTCATGCCAATCTTAATATAACTTCATATCGTATTATACAAGAAAAATATGTCGATTTGATTATTTGTAGAAGAGGAACTGATATGGGTGTTTAGTGTTGAGTAGGTTTATAGCATCCAGTCTGATATTGTTTTAGGCCTAAGATATGAGACAGAGGTGCCTCAATAGTCTGAAGAAGTTCGAGGAACTCGTTATTAGTCTTGCCTACTTGTTCTGATTATGAAGAAAATGCTTTAGAAATGACACCTACGGAAAGCAACGGACAATCTTCTGAAGTAAACGTGATATGGCAACACAATAGAAGGCTTCTACTTGAGTGTCTTGATGCTTTCGAAGGCGAGAAGACAGTTATTTGGGACAGAAGTTTGATGCAACGAGCCAATTTGGTAAGTCAGATATAGATAAGATGTTTGTTCAGTTTAGTGCGTAAATCACCGTGAAAAATGCTTCGCCTTTCTCCCAGCTTGTTTCCTGTCTACCACTACTTTGTCTACCAATACTTTTTTCAGTTTGCTGGTCCATCTGTTTTGAGAAATCACGGTGTAGTTAATAACGTTGCTCTTGACCAATTTCGTACACCAGACACCCCATACGCCATCTTTTTTCTTGCTCCAACACTAATAGCACTAGATGGATTGTGTGCATATATCGACAGAGTGAAGCGAGACACGGTATCCCTTTTATCCAGTGATTTTCAGAATTACTTAAACTGTTCAACTGTTCTTTGCAGAAGACCCTGTTCGTGGTGTTTTTCATTCCCGAGACGTGGTATGTAGTTCGAGAGAAACTTAAAGAATTGAACGACGGGAAGGTATTATGACAGAAACTTCCTGCGAATAGTCCTGTTAAGCAGTACACGAGGGTGTTTTTCAGTACTGGGAGCGCCTTGAGTCTGTACGTGAGTTACCGCTTACATGGCTCCCGCGTGATGGTGATGCCTTATCATTGTCGGATCGTGAACTGCCGTCCAGGTGTGAACATCCTTTACTTAAGTTGGGTGTGCCAGTTTTTTCTTCGTATTTTCCTTATCACAGATTGTTGATTAGCGGTGATTGGACACATCTACACCGTTGTGCTGTGGCAATACATCAGCTGATTGCATTGTGTTCACAAACGATTCCAATCTATAGTCGTGGAAAGTGGGCGCAAGATATTTCACGAATGGTGTACAAGATGGGACCCTATAATGGAGTGAGATCGCTCTTTTCTTTTTCGTTATTTGCAGGCGGAACCCCATATTTTAGACAAACATTATAGGAGCCAATTTCTCCTACGCTGCGTTTGAATCGACTGGTGATCATCGACCGTTGGGTTGATCCCCTTACTCCTTTCCTGCATCAGTTAACATACGGTGGAATTCTTGACGAGATGTACGGTATAAGTATGGTTGGATCGATTAAGGTTTGTTGCAAGCTAGGGTTAGATATGTTATTGCTTCTAATTATAAGTTTATTACGCTCATTATTTACTAAAATGGTTACTTGGATGGCCCATTTTCACTGGTGATGCGGGTCCCAGCATAATTCTCATTTTTTCCGAGTTTTGCTTGTCTATCTGCTGTAGTTTCCTAGAGTCCTGAGGTCGGCCTAGCCAAAGTTTGCTCCAGGTCGTCACCACCACAAGTATTCACAGCCTTTGTGGATCAGATGGAGATTTGCCACCATGCGACTAGTTTGATACCAGACCTGTAGTGGATGCTGGCATTGCTTTACTCTTAACTGGACTTCCTTATGGAGATGCCGGAGTCCTCAGCTTGGGAGACCCTGTCAGCGGGATGAATCCTTTCGCTGTACAATGCAGCTCGACACCTAAGAACACCTCCCAGCCACGTTGAGGCGATAAATCGTTGGGAGGTACGAACGAGCTCATTATTTTCCAGTCTTATCCCTATTTTACAATGTAGACGCTTTACTTGCTGCGAAAGTAATCGAGTTAGCGACTGAAATTGCTTTAAAATTTAGTGGTAAGGAAATCCATTGTGAACTAGAAAATGACTCACATTTGTGCTGCGGACAAATATTTCTGAAATAGGTGCCATTAGCCGAGTTCGAGAGCAACAACGAAATTGACCCATCCGAGGTGAAGGAGATATACCTTAATGACGAGTTATTTTGTCGACTGAAACATGTCCACATCAACGCTATCGGTTTTGAGTTGGCGAAAATTTTAAGTGAAATCAAAGAGGATGAACAAGTAAGTGTTGAACCGAGTAGTGCAAGTAAAAGAGAGCAAAAACACTCTGTTCATTGGTTTTGCTTATAGATTGATCGCGACCGTATGTCTGTGGCTGAATATCAAGTGCTGGTAAAGAAGATGCCAAAAATACTACACCGTAAGAAACTATGTGGTGTGCATATGCGCCTGGCAGAAATGGCTCGTTCACACCTCTATGAAGTCTTTGCCGACTACATCCGCGTGGAGAAAGGTAATTTTAATTATAAGCAGAAGCATAACTATAAGACTTCTTTTTTGGGATCTATATGTTTAATCAAGAGGGAGAGAGAGCAGTGGTTAATAATGCAGTCAGGAGTCAATCATGAAGCAAAGGCGCTGGTTCGAACCCCTTTCCAATCCACTTGAGAACGCCCTAGCCTGGCCATCGTCGACATAGCAAGGATAGTCGACTCGACCAGCATTCTACATTTATAAAAAGGATACGAAATCCTCAAGCAAAAGACGAAGCAACACGCGAAGTGTTCGAAGACCATTGTGGACGATGAATAGGTTGCTGTCAACTTGACCTTTCCAGGCTCTGAGGAAGACGAAATCCGCCGAAACGTCAGCTTTTGCGTGAGTTGGGAAGTGGAATAGCACCTCGTGTTTGCTGAACAGAAGTGGAAAGAACTGTTCAATCAATGCCGAGGTTAATAGAAAGTCGGACGTGGGAGTTACTACAAGATATCCCTTTTCACACAAGTAATGGAATGGGATCCGAAGCTCCGACCTGCGCCAACGATCAAAGATCAAAGATGCCATTCTGTACGCCAAGCAGTCGAAGGTAAGGTGGGCGGGACACGTAATGCGTATGAATGGAAACCGATGGACAAGAGCCGTTAGTGACTAAATTCCTCGAGATGTCAAACGTACTGCAGGAAGACTACCGATCGTCAGAGTTTTTCACGAAGAGCCTAGAAGAAAGATATGATGCTCGACAAGTCCCAAGAGCTAGCAGAACCCACTGGGATACTCTTGAACGCGACAGGAAAAAATGGAATATCTACTGGCGCCCGCTCGAGTCACTCGACGATCAACGGGACTACAGGTGATTAATTAAACTATCACCAGCCACAACGATTCATCGTCTCATCTTTGCTGGCGGCTCCTGGGTCTCGAAATGCGATGTGCGATAGGAATTCATCACACAGAGGACCCTCTCAGAGCGAATAATTCTACATCTCCATTTAAGAATCCAACTAGGTGGGAACCAATGCCAAGAGTTATCGACGTCTATGCCGGTAACCTAATCTCAATGTGATCACTACCTCTCCTATCTGCAGTTGATGGTGCTTAAGTGTGATTAAGATCAACGAACACTAATGCGTATATCTATAAACTCTACATGTAAATGATGAAAGCATAGTTTTCAATACTGAACTCTCCTGGGACTGCAACGTTTCCTGTGACTAGTTGATTAACCGACTAAGTGAAGGCTAATAAAGGATGGAGCTCTCGGCGCTGACCAATCCTTTAGTGATGCGCTATGCATTTGACTTCACTAAGCATCGTTGAAGGTGAATTAAATGCATATCTGGCCTTTACAATGACTCGCGGCGGACTACCGATGTATCGAGCCAGTACTGTTATCCTCTCATACAGGTCTGATACCAATTTTCCGACCTCGGAGGGATGGAAGGCTTGGTGGGCCAAGAACGGGGGAATCGATCCTATGTGTATTGCAGGCTCCTTCGACCACTGCGCCATACGCGTCGCCTTCTGAGTACGATGAAATAATCTGAGTCTCCGTGTTGTATCAGCAAAATAGTTGAATGTTTTGACTCGAGTGTTTCTGGAGACAAATGTCTCTTGGTGACTTTCGAACTCTCAGCTTTCGTAGTGTTAACGAGAAGATGTTGAATGAGCTGATTGTATTCTTCGTCGATGTTATCGACAACGGTATCTTCCCAGCAGTCGACTAATGAATTGAACTAATGAACTGAATAAGTCCCAGTTTATAGTGGTTTTGGGAAATCGTTTTTTGAATCTAGCGGCCTTGCCACCTTTCTGCGAGAAGTAGAATCTTGCACGAAGGAGGCGATGGTCTAGTCCCATGTACAATTTTGGGACAACAGCGGCATCGGTTAGGCAAAACCTTCTATTTCCTATGATGTGGTCTATTTCGTTATGGTACTCTGCCTTGGGAGAATCCCATGTCCAGCGTTGAGGGTGGGGCTTCTGGAATTGCGAGTTACCATGGGTGGTCTTGGTCGTCATGATAAACTCGGACAGCCCCTCACCCTGTTCGTTCCATTCTAGTCCATGGATCCCAATGTGACGTTCTTCAGACGTTCTGCTGGTCCAAACTTAGCGTTAAAACCTCCACTAATGAGCTTGAAGAATGTATGATCTTCTCTATACAATTTCTGCGAGTCCATGCAAAACGCTTTGACTTCATCTTCGTCATAGTTTGATGTCGGCGCGTAAACGACGAAGTATTGTCAAAGCCGGTATTGATCCACATCTTTTTAATCGTAAACGTCCGATTCGGGTTGTTAGTTGCTCGAATGAATCAATGTTCATGGACAAACTCCTGTTGACGAGAGCGCCGACGCCGCCTACGCTGCCGACTTCTCTACTGTCGCATGTTCCGAGGAACAGTTCTTTTCCGATGTCATCGACGGCGTTGAATGCATGGCGTCGTCTCATCTCGGCCAGGCCGATGACGTCGTACCTTATCCTTCTTGCCTTCTATCGAGGTCTCGGATGCAAGTATACGTGCATTGTAGGTACAGATCGTCACCTTAGTTCTTTGCTATCCAGGCAGCTTCCATTGGCCCTATGATTTTAGCAGCCTCTCCGTACTCGTTCTGCCCAACGCTGCGAAATTGGGGGCTCCTTCGGGGTTAAGGGAATAAGACCCATTCTTTTACTGTGTTTAGTATAACTACAATGTTGCTGAGATATTTGCAAAACTCTGGACCGCAAGTGTGTATGGTGGGGAACGAACGCGCTATTGTCATTTCCGGGGAGTAACGCATTCACCACCACACCATGCTGGTCCTTCGTTTCGCCTGTCTCAATCCCGCTGGCGGCTGATTGCTGTGGCAAAGATCAATAGAAATAGCTGAGAGACAGGCGAAACGAAGGACCCGCATGGTGTGGTAGTGATCGCGTTACTCCCCGGAAAGGAAAATAGCGCGTTCGTTCCCTACCATAGACGCCTGCGTTCCAGAGTTTTGCAAATATCTCAGCAACGTTGTGGTTGTATTTCGTTTAGTAACCTGCCATAAAAACTATAGAAGGCAGAAAACAAAACGTTAAAATATTGTGTTTAGTATTTTGATGCCTACGTATAGCTTGCTGAGCTGTGAACGTGGGGACTGGGTGTAATCACGAGTAGCTTGCCAGGCCCTCCCAGAGTGCACATTGTGCTTATTTGTTGGGGGCGACTCCTAACTGCCTCTCATATACTTCCCTCTTACTTGATTGCAGGCTTTTGACCGAATCGACTGGTAGAACACAATCCGCATAAGCGAGAACGCATCAACGTACGCGTGCATGAATACGCCTAGCATGTACACAAAGTATGTGCCAAACCTGCGCAGCAGAAACAGGGAGTCCATCCACTAGATCCACCTGTATCTCAGGGAAGCAAATGTCGCTTTTGGTCCGCGATGTCTTTGTTTTTTGTCTTTGGTCCCTGTCCGCCACCTTGGGACTCGCCATGTAGCCTCGTGACTTACCGGTTCGAGATCCTTCATATGAGGGAGTTTCGTGGTGGTTTTCCGAAAACCAATGTCCGGATTTAACGGAGACAAAATGTTAGAGCCATCAACAGATATGCCATGGTTCAAGGGATGGACAGATGAACGATAAAAGAGGGCAACGTTACTGGTTTAAATAATAGTAGATTTGTACTGCTGGTCGTCGGGTATCTTAAAAGAATAATGTGCACGGGCTTAATCAAACTTGTCTATACATTAACAATTATCCAAAGTCACTAATTTACATGGTGTTTATGACATGGGCAAATATGTCGCATTGAAAACGAATTATTATCAACGGGCAATAATTATTAGGGAGAACCATCCTATATCAAAGAGCGCTGTTGGATGAGCTTACCTCATTCGGTAGGGGCCTACTGAACAAGATTCGGTTCGATACGACTACGAAGACACCGCATTGAGAGAAGGAATGGCTTAGACCGAATACCGAGATCATCGGTTCTGAATAAGACGAAGGCGTCAAAACATTAGCCGAATAAACTCTTTTATCAACCTCGTATTAGCTTCGTAATCCAATAGTGTGTTGATCAATGATATTGATAGTACCGTAGTTAAATGACGGTCACTTTGAAAAATGTATTTTTTTCTACTCAAATATTCCGCATATTCATTCAAGTTCTCCTAAATGTTACAGAATTGCTTGAGTCGGCAGACAACGACAAAATCCATCCATTCATCGAAGAGTATATCATTGCTGGAGATGACATGTACGTAGCCCTTCGTCTAGTGACCGTACACGCTCTTACTGCTAACGGACTTAAACCGGGAACCCTTCAGCAGTATAGACGTATGATAGTTCAGGTGGTAATAATAGAGATTTTTCTTTGCATTTTCGATCACAGAACCTACCAGTCTTTCTCAATTGATTTTTGTGGCTACCGTTCACATTTGACTAGTGGAAGGTTGTTCAATTTGTTTGTGATTGTGTCTGATAAGCCACCAATTGATGTAACTTAAAAAAGTTTTTTCCTCACTTTTAAACTGTTCTCACATGTGAATCCTTATATATTAAAAAAGATTCCAAATTTCCCCATGATGATATAAAAGGCCTTCCAACGGTTTACAACCTCATAGTGACTAGGAGGTGTTCTTGGGTGTCGGACTATGATGTACAGCGAGGGATTCATCCCCTGGCAGGGTTCCCCAGGCTGGGAAGGAGTCCGGCGTTTCCATCAGGAAGCCCAGCTAAGAGAAAACCAATACCAGGATCGGCCACCGTCCTGGTATCAAAGTCGCCTGGTGAAAAATCTCCTAACCCACAAGAGCTGCGACTGCCTATGGTTGTGAAGATCTGGGGCAGACTTTGGCCAGGCTGACCTCGCGATTCCGAAGAACTGCGATAGCTTAACCAGCAAATCTCCGAAAAATGGAAATTATGCTGGGGTCCGTTTAAGTGTCAAGTGTCAAGTAAAGTATAAAAGGCACGTGTGTGGAAAGGTGAGGAACAAAAGAGAAAACTGACTGGTATTAAATTTGAATGTTCATTTAATACCAAGCCCTGATAATCAATAGCATGTTCCTCGCTGCTGCTCCCAACAAAAGAGGCGAGCTTTAAGAGGCTGAGAAGCCTTCATGTTTATAATACTGCCTTGTTCTGTGAAGTCCAAATCGGCAACGAACCCAGCTAAGCTGAGGCTGTAGTTGAAATCGCAATGTTAACTTTTTAATGTTTACTTTTTATTTTCTGCCTACTATAATTTTTCGGCAGGGTGTTGAGCGAAATACAACCACAACATTGCTGAGATATTTGCAAAACTCCGGACCGCAGATGTCTGCGGTGGGGTGATTTCTGATGGCACTGATCGATTGAACTAACTGAGAGACAGGCGAAACGAAGGACCCGCATGGCGTGGTGGCGAACGCGTTAGCTCTCGGAAAGGGTAATAGCGCATTCGTTCCCCACTGTAAACACCTGCGGTCCGGAGTTTTGCAAATATCTCAGCATTATTGTGGTTGAGTCACCTACCGTGGAAAATTGTAGTAGGTAATAAATTAAAAAGGTAGTAAATACACATTGTATATATGTATATATACATATATATGGAGCTGGGCAAAAATTCGTTAGAAAAGCACTCGAGAAGTAGAAAATGCGAAGATAAACTAATTTCTATGCATTTCAATATATTGGAGACATTGATATGCAGGAGTAGTGATATCGACCTTGACGGGTAGAATAATTTTGGAGCACCGTTATAATTCTTTTCACCAATCAGTGGTAGATTTAATAATAAACGATCTCTTCTACTTTTGTAGTCATTCGGTACTGAAGCACTTAACAAGCTGCTGAAACTGCAGAAGATGGGTGTGATTCGTGAGCGAGGTGGATCCGGAAAGTTGGCAGCTGACTATGCTTCTCCATTGTTTCCACACATGAAGAAGCAATACGATCTGCTTCCAGAGAACATTTCTGAGACAGTGTGCACAATCGAATTTATTTTTTCACTATTTCTATTTTTACAGCTATTTTTATTATAGAATACACACGACGCTGCCTACGCTTACAGCGGCTACGCACCATTAATCGTTCGAATTCTTGAAGAAGGCGATCGGGTACGATGGACAGGCTGGAATAAAACGTTTGAAGGACATGTGAGAGGTGAAGTCTTGTTACTAAGAGAACTAGAAGAGAATATTCGATAGTTATTCTAACAAGGGAGTATGTATTAGTTAGTCTAGTGGAGCGGAGAATAATAGAAAGTAGTTGGTCTGGTTGTCCTCTGTCCGCTAACTGCTGATGGAGTGCTCCACTTCCTTAGGTTTGCCACTCAGGAGTTTTGCTCGTGTAGCCGTATGCGCCACAGAACCTCAAACTTTGGTAACTAAACCTTTATACATATGTACATTTTCCAGTGATCGACTTTCTACTAACCTCGGCATTTGATTATAAATCTGTAATTTTCTTTCTCAGCAATCGCGAGATCGTTAAACAGCATACGTTTACTTCCTTACAATAACACACATGCAACGCAACCGTAGCTGAGGTTTCGGCAGGAACCTCGCACGGGATCCTAAAACATCAATGCGCAAACTCCTCGAAGCTTTATGGATAAATGCCAAAGATTCTACAATGAGTAGCAGGGAGAAATGCCCCGAGATCACACGTGATGTCGCCGCGTGCTTTCGTATCGATCGTTGATGTGAAGGAGTTTGGAGAAACCGTTAATCCTGTATTTATCGTTCAGATTTTCATCTATCTGTTTGTGCTGTTGAAGCGTTTGACCTAGTAAGTTGCGTATTACTGTACCCTTTCAGGCTCTGAAGAAGGTGATTCTGTTGAAACGTCAGCTACGGTTGTATTGTATGTGTGTTATTGTATGGAAATAAATGTATGCTATTTAACAACCTCGCGATTGCTGAGAAAGAAAATGACAGGCTTAACCTTTCTATTTACTGTTTATTCTTTTTAACGGTAGGGTATTTGCGAAATATAACTACTATATGCTGAGATATTTGCAAAACTCCGGACCGCAGGTGTTTGCGTTGGGGAACTATTGTCCTTTCCGGGGCGTAACGCGTTCACCACCACACCATACGGGTCCTTCGTTTCGCCTGTCTCTCAGCTATTTCTATCGATCTTTTTCTCTATAACTGGGTTCAATGCCGATTTGGGCTCCCCCGATCAATCCCGTTGATGGGTGATTGCTGATGGCAAAAGAGCTAGTGTTGGTCGCAGAGTGAAGGGCCGTGTCGCGTGGTCTAGTCCCCAAACAATGAGGCGTACCCAGTAGCATGTCTAGTGGTCTGCTTGATGGCAACGAGATGCTGTATGCAATGGAGTGCCCAATGGCTAAGATGGGATGTGGATGTAGGGCATGCTAGCGGACATTGTGGTAAATGCGATGTATATCGACTTATAGAATGTATTTTTTAGGTAGATAGAGAATTCTCTATTTAATAGAGGAATTTTCTATACAGTAGAAAAATAACTGCAAAGTAGTATGTAAATGGCTGTTGGGTGGATAGAGTTTTTAAGTAATCTTTAATTTATTTGAGCAATCTGTGAACGTTGTAAAATTTAACTCTCTTATCGTCAACGACTGAAACCACCATGTGCAGAATACTTAACTCTGGAGACGGTTACCTCCCAACGGTTTACCACCTCACCGTGGCTGAGAGGTGTTCCTGGGTGTCGGACTGCAATGTACAGCACGGCGATTCTTACCCCAGCAAGGTCTCCCAAGCTGAGAAGGAATCCAGTGTTTCCATCAGGAAGCCCAGCTAAGAGAAAACCAATACCAGGATCCGCCACCGTCCTGGTATCAAGGTCGCCTGGTGAAAAATCTTCTAACCCACAAGAGCTGCGGCTGCCCGTGGTGGTGAAGACCTGGGGTAGACTTTGGCCAGGCTGATTTCGTGACTCCAGGGAAGCACAATGGCTTAACCAGCAAATCTCCGATAAATGGTGATTATGCTGAGGCCCGCACAACCAGTGAGGACGGGCCGTTAAAGTGTCAAAAGTGTCAGAGAGACGGTTACGGTTACTTGCAGCTCAAGTCTCGATATCTTAAGCATATTGAGAAATTGAGAACTATAAACTTTACAAGAATCAGTCGTATTTAGTGAATTGTTCGGGAAGTGTTTATGCTTTTCTCTATTCGGATATTGACCTTTTTGCCTAAAGATAAATTTTACACCTGTATACTTTACACTGATACAAGGATAGCCGAACTTCATAATTCGTGCTGAACTCAGCACATTCCCCATCTGTTTCGTTCGTTCGCAGTCCTCGTTTATGGTGAGGTTCGTTTGAAAAACTTTGAATCTCATTGATCTGTGATCAAGTTTTTCACCTTTTATGGAATCTTCTGGATCATGAAGAACAAGCATCTTTCGAGGGTCTGAGCTACGAAGACCAGCGTTATTTTGTTTGTACCGGTCATATTTGAGAAGTGTACAATGCCTGCATTGCAAAACGCTGGAAATCAACGGCTGGGCAGTGTTCCGTGTCCACTTGCTCGGTGATTGCTTCTTTGGGATCTCAACACGGTTTCATGCTGCTGGTCTTGCTCTATACAACTCCTTGTTCATACAGCTTTGTGTTCACTGAACTACTACAATGAACGTGATATACGGCCTCTGCAATTGAAGAACCATCCAGTTCGATTCGTTTTCCATCACACTCCGGGTTTTCTCTAAAGAGCATTTCTTCTGATTTACTCGCACCCCTATCCCTTCAAAAGACGAGGTGCAACCATGTTTGGATGTGGTCCGCATAACAAGGTTCTTGTCGAGAATCTGGTTGCTCGGTCAGTTGGCCATCGTCTAACGTTGCTTGATATACCCCATATATCATTATGAAAAATTTGTAGAGCAAACTAGCCAATCACGTCGAAATACCCATTTTGGGCAGAATAAATGTACACAACACTACTTAAATGTAGCTTCAGTGATGCTGAGATATTTGACATGTGATTGCTAACGGTAGAGATCGATAGAACTAGTTGGAAGACAGGCGAAACGAAGGATCCGCATGGTGTGATAGTGAACACATTACTCCACGTAAGGGACAATAGCACGTTCGTTCCCCACCGCAGACACCTGCGGCCCGGAGTTTTGCAAATACCTCAACATCATTGAAGTTATATTTCGCAGTATACTCTGCTATTAAAAAGAACAAGCAGTAAATAATAAATTAGAATTGTGATTACTACTTAAATGGTCTGAGATTGTTTCTTTCTTAACATATGCGACAGTGCAAAGTTATGCGAAGTGCGTATAGGTGGTATTTTCCAGGTCGTAAGATGAAAAGTTAGGGCGGTAATCTACTTTTCGTTTTAATATTTTACATGTCCTCCCTTTTTGGAATTGCTTTTCGGTTGTCATTCTGGCTTTCGCTTCATCTCTTCGCATCCATCATTCACAATACTCTTTAAATTTTTTGCGTGCAGACCGGTCTGCCGCCTGAGCATCTTCGTCTTTAAAAACTGGACTGGATGAAGTAAGTTAAGCCCAAACGACAACACAATAAAGCAGTTTTTTGAGCGAAGGACTAAGGCGTATCTTAGGGTTTTGATTTTTTGACAAGTAGTTCGTACTCTTTTTCGTGGACCTTCTTCAACTTACCAATAATGTAAGGTAAGAATTCGTTGGAATTTTCTATCTGTTCACAACTTATTTTGGTCTTGAGCAACAACAAGGCTTTTCCAGTTTGTAGCTGAATTATGTTGTGGCACTAACGATTCTATAGTGTGTCATCTCAGATGTGATATACTGTCTCAGTGAGATTATCTCCTCAAATCCGCGTGTAGGTTCTATCGTTGATCGAGAGTCTTACATTATTTGGTTCGAACAGAATTATACCTGGACATTTGAAGAACCTACCTCCAATACTTGTCAAGACACTAAATTGGCACTTAACAAAAAGGTTATCTGAACTTAAGGTTCCCAATTAATGGAAAACCAGGAGACAAAACCTGTTAGCTACTGAATTCGAAAAGGTGTCAGATGTATATCAGGAGGACCACCGACTCGATAATAACGTTCATGACGTTCTTCGACAGAGTGAAACCCGCTAAGCCATTTTTATATGCAGCATTTAAAAGGTACCTACTCGACTTACTCGACAATCAACGAGAAAAAGGGTTATGTGTATAGAATCTTACAGACTTAGTATAAATGTATTTGGAACTTTAGTACGATTACTTTGCGCACATTCAAACCACTAATTACTACTGAACACTTCCAGTGTCTTCCATTCAACACTTTTATGCCATCACTTCTTATTTACAGCTCAGACTTCGCTAACAGAGTTCAAATGCCATGATCTACTTTCTCCTGACCTCGGAACTTATCAAATAATCTACTGTTTTTCAAGACATTCAAAACAGTTGTAGAAGTTGAAATTTTAGATAGATAGTAATTTGATTAGTAGACATTGATTCCTCTTCCCGGTTTCTAGGTGATGATCGAACGGCGGTGTTCGTGGTTGGTGGTGCGACACGTGCCGAACTGGCCGCTATCAATCTTATGCCGAATGTTTGTCTCGTTGCTACCTCGTCTGTTATTACTGGTAACCGATTGCTTGATAGTATCACACAGATCTGAGAACTCATAAGTAAAACAAGAAAAGCACGACGTCATTCATAGTTTTATCTAACATAAACAAATTCACACGTTATTGTGTGCAGTAAATTGTACTACACACATTCAACCATGATGTCATGAGAAGAAAATTGTAAGCAGTAGAACATTGTACCACCAAAATCCTTTCGAATTACACTTGCAGAAATATGCACTACGTGACATTAAGGTAATAAATAATTACACAAAAAAACTCGTAAGGGGATTTTCCAAGCGACAGAAATATTAACAAGATGAAAGAGATAAGGGCGGAATATTGTGTCAACAAGCATGAAAATGATGATGTAAAGACAGTAACAAATACATTGCTAACACCGGGGCATTATAGGAGGAACAAAGTTTAATTGAAAAAAAACTAGCAAACACAGACTTTGATTGGGAACCTACCGCCCCACACCTGTCATTAATGGATCAGTTCAACACATGTATACTGGGCACTGCTACTATGCTAATATATTCATGAACTCTCCTAATAAACATTGGGTTCTGTGAACCTACACGAATTTATTTATATGCCACAGTGTACGAGCGCATACAAACGAATCAAAACGAAACTAAATCTAGAAAGCTATAATTCAAAAAGCAGGGACTTTTAACGTCGATGATTTCGAACGAAATTCCTTAGGCCAGATAGAGTGGGTTGGCACTTACTAAGTAGGATTGACGAAAATGTCAGCATACTCACTCGTCCATCTCGCCTTTTGAAAGGCTTCGAGAAAGGCTTGGTGAAGATGGAGGCCCGCTTTTCTGGAGATTACGAAAATGAGAGAAAGAAGAGACATACTCGAAAGAAAAAATACGAGCAAATTTCTGGTATTGCCAGTTTTCAATAATTTCTTAGATCTTGATGTAGTATTTGTACTTCTGGAGATTTCCTCTGGTAGTCCGGCTTTACTGTAAGAACCTCTCAGTAATTTGATGTATTGTTGCAAGATAATGTTACTGAGTATCTGACTACGATTAACAACGAGGAGTTCACACTCTCACAGGGTCGCCCGGTATAAAAAGTTTTTCATTTGGAAAACTAGCTGAGAGTAAACCAATTACTGCCATTGCTGCCATGAAAGCTGAAACCTACCCGCAAAGAACGTAAATTCACGAATGCCACCGGCTGTCGAAAACAAAACCTTGCCAGTATGCAAATACCTGGTCAAATCAAAACTATGCTAAGGACTGCAGATTGATTTAATGGTAGGCATAGTTCAGCAAGCTTTCGAAAGAAGTTTTATTTCCCAGTACAACTGGCATATTTGTCTGCTTCACTTGCTATGATGCTGTCTATTACTGGCAAGGCGCTCGTTCAACTCCATACCGGTATCATCAAGCAACTGTCCCATTGAAGTCAGGAGATTGCTAACAAATCTATACGGACTAACTTCCTCCAATCCATGTGGGAACGCCTTAGCACGGCTATCCCAGGGATTCCAGGAAGAATCGAGTTAACCGGCATTCAACAGTATTCAGACGATCAAAATCTCACTGAACAACTATACTCACACACAAATCCAAAACATTCGTGGATAGTGGAAACGAATCTAGCGCAAGAAGTATTGGTATCCGCACAATTTTCGTCAAGAGATTTGGAAAAAAGAAGTGCACATCAATAACAGTTAAATAACTTTAACTTTAATATACTGCTGAGACATTTGCAAAACTCCGGACCGCAGATGTATGCGGTGGAAAAGGCAGTAAATGGTTAAGAAGTTTAACTTTGTTCATCAACAGCTTTAAACTGTGGGCTCTCGATACTACAGAAATAGGGTCATCTAAATAAAGCAGAAAAAGTGGTCAACTTATGAAAGTCACAATGTACAACACAGCTGTTAGGGCGGTACCGAAACTCATTGCCATCAGGAAACCACGGGAGCCTGTTACCTACTGGCGTAGCGGCACTCTTCGTCATGGAACCCGATCACTCTTGTGAGCAATATTCATAGAGTAGAAGCTTCCTCCATCTTCAGTAACATGTTTCTTTGCTCCTTAGAGGCAAGGTTGACCATACTACCTCCACCATCAACTAAGGTCGTTTCGAAGTCGAAGCGTTCGAACCAATGAGACACAGTGAAGTGTGTCATCGAATGCAGCGCAGATATTACTTACCCGTATCACAACGCCGTAGAAAAAGTCTACAACAAGTGATGCGCAAAACATTGACTACTGATTATTGAACTGGAAATATGATCATATAAGGCGAATGGTAGGAGCTCCATCTCACAGCTCTCAATATGCTTTGGTGACAGGCTAACATATCTTATGTCTAATGTCTAACCAAAGCCCCAAACTCTTGCTTGACGCATATACCATTAGTTCACCCAAGCAATTCTATAAATCAGATAACGGATTAAAATAGTTCAATGATGCTGAATGGAGTCGACTACAAGAGGCATGCCTAGGGATAGACCGATGTCCTTTTTACTAACATACAGTGCCGGAGTAAATCGTACCTGTCCACGCGGCCGAAATAATTCATGCTTCATCAGCTCGAATACGTCTGCTCGATCCTCCTTTTTATATTGTAAACATCGACGTATAAAATCCTGTGCAACTGGACTTACCTAAAACTGTGAAATCACAAAAGAATTAGACAATGGCATTAAAATAAACTGTCGCAGTTTCATAGTGAATAAGTTTTAGCAGGAATAATACTGGCTTGGTTTTTCAATGCCATTTCATTTAAAAAAGAACTACAGATGAAATTACCCCAATTACAATATTAATTAACTCTCATACCCCTAGGCTGCATAAGCACAGCCTTCGTTCATCTTTCTATTTCGCACTGAATAAAATTTTGCTTCATAACGTCTTCCAGAATAAATATCCGGTGCTCATTTCGCTCTAAATATGGAACGAAACCTCTGCGTTGGACTAAAATCCAATCTCGATCTAGTTCCAAATTTATCATGTAGGGAAAGAGAGGACCAAATACTACATTCAATCTCACAGTAACACTTTCTCTTTGGGACTGAAACCGTTCAGAGTCGTATTAAAATCTGTTTTCTAATGAAGCTTAGAAAAGATGACATTGCAGAACAACACCATAAACTTTTGCAATACTCACTTGAGGTTTCGCTGGAAAATGAACCTCACTAGCCTTCAGTATGGTGTTCTCTTCGAGTATTTTCTGCTGCGTTTGATCATTTCCGAATGGCTGGATAAATATAAACTTTTAAACTTTGAATAAAATATCTTTTACAACATTCACGAATCAAAATTTCACTAACCTTCTTTCCATAGATACACTGATAAAAAATCACACCAACACTCCATACATCAACTTTGGAGCTTATTTTTGGAGGCGCATGACTAACTACAAATGTTTCTGGCGGAAGATACCTACAAAGAGACCGCTACAGTGCAATATTTTGAATCAGCAATGGTAACAACATAGCATATACCAATAAGTGCCAGCGAATTGAGATGTTAATTCAATGCTATCATCGTCAGATGAGCCTTCCATGATCTTCGACAGACCGAAATCTGTTATTTTAATGGCGCCGCATGTTGTCCCGGACTCCAAAAGAATATTAGCAGGCTTCAAATCATAGTGAATTATTGGAGGCTTTTTCTCATTCAGATAAACAAGTGCTGAGACCACCTGCAACAATTCTTGGTACCCTGTGACGCAATACTACCTCCGAAATAAGTTTAATACTAATACAAGATCGAATTAAACACTATACCTGCATTATAATACTCCGAGCCTCTTTCTCTGAGATACACTTGTTCTGTTTGAGGTAGAAATCAAGGTCATTACCCGTGCAGTACTCAAGAACTGTACAAAACGAATGATTGTCAATGGTGAACAGATCGAACAGTTTTACGATGCGACAGTGATCAAGTGTCTTGTGAATATCCTTTTCTCGCATGGCATGTTTCACGTAGTTGGCCTACCAAAAAGATTGCGTTCACTTTTTGAGACACAGCAGAAGTTAGTGCATAGAAACCAGAAGAATGAAAAAAAGTAGGAAATGCAAGACCTTTTTTTCTTCCTTCCATTCCTTATTAACATGATGGATTTTACACGCGACGAATCGATTTTCCTCAAGGTCAAAAGCTCGCCACACTTCACTGCAACATGTATGAATGTCACGAGACAATGGCCAGTTATGTTCCGAGATTAAGAATTCTCGTCCAATTAAACCTCGATGTTGACACTCAATTGAGTTAATGATGAAACTACGTAGTACGATAAGAACTACAAAATTTGGATCGTAACCTCACATTGCCTCAAAAATGGGTCAAATTTTTCATCATTAAAACTCACACAACCAATGAGCAATGCATGGTTTTACTAACACCTTTGATAGTAATCCGATTTTTTCAGCTTCAACTGAACAAAAATACCCTTTTTGTTTTTAAGCTGGAATTCAACCAGTTTCTTCGTGTTCTATAGATAAGTGAACAAATATAAACCCATTATGACCTCCAAAGACTCGCCTCACATATAACACGACAACTTGTTCCATGTTTTTCGTCGTTTCACAAATAGTCTCTTAGTAGAACAGCACAAAAATTATTGTGCAAGTGGGGCGAAATTTTCTCACATTTTCCCAAGTTGTTCTCTTTGGTAACAAATGAGTTGCAAGAGCTATGCAATACGAGAAGAAACTAGGAACACAACAAAGCAGTAAAGCTTAAACAAAGAATGAGCTAATGACTCGAGGTATTCCATCCTCTGTCTCACCACTTGAACAACAGAGCACCTGTCTGCACTCAATACTCAACAAACGCACAGGTGATATCTAGCCTATGCAACTTCGATATATCTTCGAAATCGTATAAAAGACAAAGTATAAAGCTCTCGACGTTGATCGATTCCTGAGGGATGTGCCATGCATTCGAGTTGATTAAGCATCGTTAGAGATGATTCAATGCATACCTGGCCTTTACAATGACTAGCGGTGGATTACAGATGTATCGACTTGCTATTCTCCCAAACAAGTCTGGTACAAATTTAACGACCCCGGAGGAATGGAAGGCTTAGTGAGTCTAGGGAACCGGAATCGATCCCGTGTCTTTTGCACCGCACCATACACCTCCCTTGAGATCGTGTAAAACGAAGAAAACCAACCATGAAGAAGCTGCATTCCACAAAAGCTCAACAGACAAAAACTAGACTTTCCTGTCCAACGAGCAGTCGACTGCGAACAGCGCTTAGAGTAAACGGGATATTTGAACAAGATAATTCTAAATGTGGTCTCAAAAATGCGCATCCAGTATGGTTTCAATGCAAGCAAACAGAATTTGAAACAGAAACAAGCAGACGTTAACATCTAAGACGTTGCACACTTTAAGATTATATTTAGATGTTAAAACATAGATGTGGAAATTTCCGTTAGTACATTCTAAAATCCACAAAGTGTATTCAAAGCCGACCTGAATCCACCTTTGCCGAGTAGCGAAAGTAACAAGTAGCGTTTGTTAAGCACTTCGTGATCCTTGTAACGGGAATCTCTTTCATTACTTGCTCTCTTCAGCTCCCTCAAGTGAAGCTGACGTTCTCGATCGAGTTTCTCCTTTTCCGCAATCACCTCCAACTCCTCTTTTTTCATATGTTCACGACGAAGTTTATAAATTTCATCCTAAAGTAGGGCGCGAATAACAAAAATACAAACAGCAACTTGCGAAAAAATAGGAAATGGCCGTCACATAGGAGCTAAAGTGATACTTCATAGGCCAGCTATGGAATTTTTTCTGCGAGCACTTGTTTGCACACCCAAGGGATAAACAACTGAGCACCGGCAAAATTCTCTCTATTCAATTTGCCTTGACTTACCAGTTCGATATACTCCTGATAATTAATTTCTTTGGGTTCCTCAGGTCGGCGAAATACTGCATCGTCGCCAGAAGACGTTGATGGCATCGATGTATCCGTCTGTACCGCAGCTAGTTGTGCAGACAACGAACTTGCAGCTGACCTTAGACGACAACATGGAACAAACAATAAGGACAAAGTCAAAAAAAGGTTAACGATACCTTTTCGGTGTTGTTCCCTCTTTAGCAATTCCAACTGGCTTACGCTTCTTTAATAATGCAGAAGCATTTGCTATCTCATTCCTTTCATTTGCTATCTGCTGCATCTTCTTATCAAGTTCTTCTTGAGCCCAACCATCAACCTACAAAGACGAAAATTCCTTCTTTGCTTACATTTCACTGCAAAATCAAGGTTGTAGATTTAAACTGAAGAACGAAACATTCCTAAGGTAAAAAACGAATAAATAAATAAACGAGTAACTCATTACCCATATTTCTCGAAAGGAATCACCATGACGAACAAGTTTGTACTGACCAATTCTGGGTGTGTTCTCGGTAGTCTATCAGAAAATAATAAAGAGCTCACAAATATCGGAAACTGAATGCTTCACACTTGTGACTGACAAAAAGAATGGATCACCTTGTCACGTATTGCCTTTCGTTCCATAGTATTCTTGTCAATAAGTATCCGTTTGAGAGCTTCTTTAGCAGATTCATTCTTCCTACGTTCGTAAGCTGTCTGAAAATGACAGGATAAAAAGAAAACGCGAAAGACAGAAAACAAGTGCATATCACAAAAGGACCCGAATAGAAAAAGATACCTTATTCTGTTCCTCGATTAACTGATTTTTGAGTTCTTGTATCAAACGATCCCGCTTCGCAATTTCTTCTGGGGGTGCAACATCAGGCTCCTATGTCATAAGAATATACGAGAGAATAATCCCAGACAAATACATGACAATCTCCTGCAGTTTAAGCATAGCATAATTGAGACACACCTGAAAATCTGTCTGTGTTTCGCAATCAGCCTTTAACCTGATCGACGTGGCTGGTGTAGGAGGGCTTTGGTTGGAATTACTATTCGAGTCTGATGAATAGTGCGGGTTTGTAGGTGTTATTCTACTCAACGCAGTTGGTGATGTTGTCATCCATCGCTGTTTAACACAAAGATCATGCATGCCCTAACAAACAAAACAAACAAACAAACAAAAGAAGAAACAGACAAAACCCAGACAACCAACCGCTCCAACTACGTTCAAATTTGCGATTTCATTCGAATAATTGTCACCATTTGAACTGACCGCAAACCGCTTCGGACTATGTTGACCCTACAGCGTGGAAATGGAGAACGTATAATCCAAAAATCGTATATCAAATAAAATGAATAATGAAGTGGACCTACTCGAATGAAATCAGTTATTTTTCTTTCAGACTGAGGTGTCTCATCCCCTCTACGCCGTTTTCGGATAAACTTCTTCTCTGTGCTTGGTCGATTACATCTACAGGATGAAAAAGTTGAAAATTTTACGTTTAGTGATTACACACTACAAAATAAAAGAAAAAATTGAGCGCAGTCCGTATGAATGAGGATTAAGTGGATTTGTATACTGTGGGATTTAACCCGTGTACTAGTGAAAAACAATAGAATACTACGTTAAAGATCCCACCAAACTTTACTGGATCAATCCTGAAAGAAGTACACGAAACGACTTAACAACCAAAAGAAACGAGAACAATGGAACTGTAGCACCCAAGGTATTCTACGATAACGATGACGTCAAGCCTGGATCACAACAATCTATGAAAACCCTCCCTCTGCTGTTATCTAACTGGAGCTTGCATCCACTTACAAACGTGATGACGCGGTCCGGAAAAAACGTAGATGTTTCTGCCACAAGTTAATTTTACTAACATAGTAAACATTACAGAAATCAAAGAGAATAGAAAGTGAAGTAATCAATACCTTCCAGGTGTTCCATCAGGTTCTCTGTCCGAAACCGATCCAGCGCTACTTAGATTGCTACACTCATTTACTAGGGGAGCCGCGAAAACTCGCATCTGACTATCAGCACTATCCTCATTGTACGGTTGAAGAGCAACATCAGAAGCACACACTAGTGGAAGCGATGTCGATCCATCACCACATGGCAGATTTTGTGACTAGAAAGAACGGTGAATTAAAAACCACTCCGAAATGAAAGCCTCCAGAAATCTCTGGATAGTCAAAACACGCTGCACGTTTTTTCAGGCCTCAGCACTACATCAAAATACTTGGGTCACAAAAAGCAAGTCCTGTTCTACCTAAGTTTCAGACTTACACCAAAAACAAAATCTAACTGACTTCAGTTGCATGGAGTTTTCTTTTAAAGTGCACCTTCTCATCCAAAGTTCTAGAAAGAATGCGTGCATGAAAAATCGATGCGAGGCAAAAAAAAACATCTCGTTAGAGACGTAACACAAAATATACCCCCGCATTGACAATGTCACTTCGGGGACACATTCAAATACAGTGAGCCGAATTCTCCGAATTCTACACGCAGCAATAACCGTAAAAGATCCAGAAAGACTGAACTCACAGATGCCGTCGGTAGCGTCCTTGACGCCCTAGGGCCGGTGTTGAAGAGCTTTTGTTCAAGTTGCTGATGATGAAGCTGTTCATATCGTTGCTGTTCACCGAAATCTAGCGAGTCAGCCATACTGGTCGTCATTTTTCTCAGGCTAATTCAACATCTGGAGATAACATCATATCGTGATCGGTAGAAGAACAACGCTCAGGTGGTGCTACTAAGCAATAACTAGTAAGAATCAAACACCCCGTCCCGTCCGGGCAGATTGCTGCGAGGAATAATTGAAAGAAAAGCACTCGTCCATCACTAGTAATCTCCATGGAAGTATATTATAAAAACCAATAAGCATACTTACTGGTTAAAAGTGAAACAAGTAACAAATGAAAGACAACATAGTCAACACAGCACTTCTACACATGACATCAAAAAACACCGGTCAATACGCTTGCGCAGACCGCACGCGAGCCAGTCCAAGGCACAGGATGAAGGTCTCAGAATGATTGGGGTACTGTAGCATAGAACTTGCAGGATTGGCCTACGTTTTCACTTGGGACCATTCAAACTGAATTTTAGGGAGTAGTTGTTGGACCTATCGCTTATCGGCAATCAATCGATTGCTTAAGTCATAGTCTTATTCTCTGAAAGCTGTCCTATTATCTAACGTATTCTGAAACATCTGAGAGTTATGCGCTTTCACTAATGTTTTACGTAGTTTCCTTGAACGTCTAGGCTCCACTGATGTATATGTATATGTAAATCAACAGCTGTAATCGAACCTTGATGGTTACTTTGTAGATTTCAACTCTCCAGTTTTCCCTCTTTTTCTAAATGACCCGTCAGCGCATTTACTGTGCGGATTCCAGCAATTTTTGGGTTCGATTAGTTTTTCTCGCATTCGTCATCCACTGTGGTTTTCGAACATTTCGCGTTTTGCATAGACTTCTGCTTGAGGATTTCGTCTTCTTTGTGAATATCGTAGATTTCTGGTCAAGACGATTCTCCTTGCGGATCCTGGAAATAACCTGCTAGTGCGTTCCCACGTGAATTAGTGGAGGCGTTGAAGCCGGGATCGAACTGGCGCGTTTGCTTCCTTATCGACGGCGTCATTAACCACTGCGATCTCCTCTCCCTAAATCATGCCAGTTAATAGTTTAGCTTTGTTGGTTTTTAGAAGTCAGTCTATATCGTTATGCGACTTTTTTCGTCTGTTTGGCCTAAATTCTAGTAGTTACGGATTTTGAGACTGTGGATGTGTTTACGTTCGATTTTTCCTTTTCTAGTTGGGAAGTTCTTTTACATCAATGTATCAATTTATCTCAGCACTTTTATATTATGCTAGCACTAATGTTTACAATCTTTACACTTCTGTTTCTAGTAGCCGAGAGTTCTTGGACATATCAATAGAACGGTGTACTGTCTAGGTCATACTAGTTGCTTCCTTAATCTTATTACTTTCTAAAAGTCAATGCCGATATTCTAAGACCAACTTCTTTTAACCTCAATATTGATCAATAATTCACTGTCTCTATGGGCAAAGCCTTAAGGTTATGAAAGCATCTAGTGGAGCAGATTGCCGGTCAATTTGACTCCCCCAGGCTCTTAAGAAGGCGAATCCGCCGGAACGTCAGCTTCTTCATAAATAAAGCATAAAATAATCTCACATTTGCTCATCAAGAAAGATGATGTATACTGGCATCGTTACATGACTTTTTTCCGTCTGTATTCGATCCGGATAGTAGTAGTTACCGTTTTCGAGACTGTGTGCGTGTTCTCTTTTACGTTCGGTATTTTTTTTCAATTGATAGGTTGTTTTATCTCATCTTTGTACTCATCCTACCAGTACCCTTAGTAGTACTGTTTGCAATCCCCACACTTCCGAAGTGGTTGAATTTTGAGTCATCTTCTAAGGTTGATTTCAACCTAACTTCACGTTCTAGTCTTGTTCAGACTTTTTAGAAGATCTTTAAAGAACGAATATACTTTTTTTTGCGTTCGTATTCCTTTCGTAGTTTTGCAAATATGATATCGTTGCCATTGATGGACTATATTTTTTTATGAGATGCCACGACCAGATAGAACAGAGGAATCACAAATCTCTAGGGATCGGCGAATATTTGCTACGATTCAAAGTACGTTGAATCGAGGAAAACCGTCATTGAGTCAGAACTCACGCCCACAGCGGGAGAAGGAGAAAACCACCAATACGGTCGAGGTAGGTGTTGGAGCTGGAAGTGTCGTTGACTTGTTTGTTGTTAAAGTCATATTTTTACATGTCTCACTTTTAGTAGCTTTAATCCCATCCACTGAATGGAGAAGGGGGGGGGGGAAGAGGGTTATGACAATGGCCACAACTTTCTATAAGGTTCCTTATTTTGACTATCTTTTTTAGCGTTAGGTTTTACCTTGGAGACAAACTATTTTTGGGCAGGATGTCGTAGTTTTGGAGTAGATGTGAAGCTTCTTTGTTGGACGTTAGTCTTGAATGACATTCCATTTTTTTTCTTTAGTATCAAATATTTTAAGCTCTTTCCAACGGTTTGCCGACTCATCGTGGCTGTGTGGTGTTCCTGGGTGTCGGGTTGCTATGAACAGCGTGAGGATTCGTCCTCACAGTAGGGATTCATCTTCCAAACCAAGAACGAATCCGATGTTTCTATCCAGGATCTTAGCTAAGAGTAAACGAATCCCAGGAATCACCTCCGTCCTCGTGTCAAACTAGTCACATGGTGACAAATCTTCCTCTGATCCACAACGACGGCAACTGCTTGTGTGGTGACGATGTGGGGCAGACTTTGACCCGGCTGACCTCCGGATTTTAGGGAACTACGATGGCTAAACGAGTAAAACTCCGGAAAAGTTGGAATTATGCCGGAGCCAGCACAACCAGTGAAGACGAGCCATCCAAGTATTTTGAGCTTGCATGCGCAATAACCTATCTGTGGATAATTATGGTTATGTGTACACGGAATGTACACGTTGATCCCATGTTGTAAGTAAAAGAACTCAGACCAAGATCGGAACACATGTCATGACAAGCTTTTGGTCTGTTTTTAGCATCCCATTATTCATCACCTAGCAGTGTCCCATTGTTGCGTAGCATTTATCTAGTTAGAAGTTCACATGAAGGGTGTCCATACAGAGCTGGGCTTAGTTTTTTTCGATTATATTACACGGCTTGGCGTACATCTACTGCGCGGACACCAGAATTTCTTCCATTCGACTTGTTTCTTGCCACCAATATCATGACCCCAAAGCGATGAGAGGATTGGTGAATCCGAAGCGAGTTCGGAACAGCGCCTTGCTCGTGGTGATTGGTATCACTAATGCCCTACCCGCTCTCTACCCTCGAATACTTTTACCCAATTACTGAGTAGTTATGAGGAAATTGTATGTTTGTGGAAAAGCCGAGGAAATTAAAAAGGATATTCCTTCCATTTTTGCACGAAAAATGTACTACGGATAACATTGCAGGAATTGAATGACCTCGACTCTATCATTTCGCAGATAATGGATCTTAATATTCGTCCAGACCTGTCTGCTTTGGAGATAAGTTAGTGTTTCGATATGGTCATTGGTCGTTTTTTAGAAACCGTAATGTTGCTCTTATTTCTAGTGCAATTGTTATATCATTGTAAACTCATTTTATTTAACCTTGGTGTAAACGATCAATATATCTTGTTTTATTGGTAAGCTAACACGAGGTTGTTACCAAATATTTATTCGGCTGGCGTTTTTTTCGACGTCTTCATCTTACTCAAAGCCGATGATCCGAGTCGAAGCTCTGCTTGTCAGTGAAACAGGGTACTATTATTACATTTTGAAAAATATTTTTGCTCTTGTGTTTAACATTGTATAAAGAAAGGATGAATAATGAATAAAGCTCTCGGCATTGATCAATCCCTGAGGGATACGCCATTCATCCGACTTCGTTAAGCATCGCTGGAGGTGATTAAATGTAAATTTGGCTTTTACATTGACTCGCAGTGGCCTACCGATCTATTGAGCCACTACTGCTAGCATACCGGACAGGACTGGTACTAATCCGCCGACCCCGTAGGGATGGAAGGCTTGGTGGGCCTGGAGCGTAGGGATCGATTGCAGGGTGCCTCCGACCACTGCGCTGCACATACCCCCTTGCCCCATACTGTGCAGTGGATAAATCCTCGCACCATCTTTAGCCGAAACTCTAATACGTGATGACTTTATTGATGAGTTTAAGACAATGTGACTTCTCGGTAATTTCTATAACCAATTTTGTTGCTCTTTGTTTTCAGAAAGAAACATATCTGAATGTGAATTTCTCGGTCGAATGACTGAGAATGAATGGAAAGCTGTGTGCAAAAGTCTGATCAACACTGCGCTCACTGATGGCGAGACGAACTTTGTAGTCGATCTATTCATTCCATTGATGGGTATGTTTGGTATTAAACTCGAAGTTACTACAAGGTAGTATGGATATAGCTTTTTATTCCGGAATTAGAGATTAGTTTTCGCTATCGAATTGCTAATTTAAAGAAATAGTCTATAATCAAAGCCATAATATTATACATTTACTTGCCATAGGCAATTTAGAACCAGTTTCCTGACAACTTTGCAGCTCTAGTAGCTCCAGCACATTCGCGAACTTGCACATTGAGTCAATACATTTCTGATCACAGATTTGTCAGGCGTTACTCTAAAAAAGCCACTTTGTGCACTTAATGCAGAAGAGGTTTTTCTGTTTTCCGACCTACCTCTGGTTACTTTTACTTGTGACAGTAGTAAGACATATCCTCTGCGAGAGTACCAAAGGAGAAATAGCACACCGTGCACATAGATTTCAAGGTGCATCACTTGTGGTGAAGAATTATACATCGCCTCATGTGAGTAATGTCAAAACTATGCCTAGTCGCGACATGTGGTGATGTGTTATCTTGTTTAGTCAGGTTGCTGTTTTCTAAGCTTGGTCCCTAATTGTGTTCACTATGGTCTTTGTGTAGTTTTTATGTTTGCCTGCGTGAAAATCGTGCGCCTGATTAAATACTATTCATTCTGGTTTGGAAATGTGCTTGGTCATCCATATAATTTTTATCGATTGACCAGATAACTTGATCTGACTCGTATTTATAGTCTTATGTTTATGTTTATAGAATACCACATCTTTTGTGAAGTTTTATGCACTGAGTTGATGACACTCTGCGCCGCTTTTGTAATGGACGGCCCAAACGGCATCGGAAATATTCCTGCATTGTTAAGCGCAATCCTCTGTGCCAGTTGGCCTCGTCATTTGTCAAAAGTGCGTTGTTTTTTTCTTCTTTGTATTCACTGTATTTCCACAGTTTCATTCGCTCTTTGTTCTGGATATTGAGCCTGATGCCTACTAATTCAGTAGAAGTGGCTTTTAGGCTATAGACACTATCAACCCTATACTATATACTTCTGTATCTATAGTTAAGGGATGGCTACTAGTTTTGCAAGAGGACAGTGAGGTAGGTTGTTTCTGTTTCTGTAATGGTTTGCAAGAAACAAGTGCGGAAGTGAAATTCTTGGTGTTTGCCTCTGACTTTATTCGTTGGTGTTTGTCAGTATTTTTGAAGAAGGGTGACGATCCTCTATTACATTACAGGATGAAACATGTCAGGAGGCTATAGTTGGTGTAAAATAACTCACTATAGTAATTTGTGAAGCGATGGTCAACAAATATTAAGAGAAACTACGTTTGAAAGTTTAAGACTCGTCGAATTAGTTGTTTGAAATGTTACTGTACTATAGCATAGTAAGCTTAACGACGTCCTTAGGCCGCCAGAAAAGCCGAAAATTCGTCGTCTATTCAAGATCAGGGGGAAGGTGACTCTTCATCTACGGCTCAAGAAAGGGAAGACGCAAAAGTTGTGAATAGGTTTGTTTTTTGTTGTTTCTTCAACGCGATTTTCGATTTCCTTTCATTATTATCGTGCACAAAGATTTTTTTTGTTTTAAAGATTGTACCTTGCAGTCTTTGGTGTTGAATGTAGGTGTAGGTGTACGTTACGGTATCGTCGATTGCTTCCTGTAACCCACATGTCAATTCGTTCTGTTTTCTTACAGGTGTGCTCATTCACTGTGTCTACTATGTGAATCTGCTCAGCGTTCATTGTGGATGAAGTGGCCTGAATTATGCAACGAAATCTATTACATTATCAAGCCGTCTATCACCCATAACCAGGTCATCACCGGGTAACTTTTAGAGTTAATTATGCTGGCTACTTTTTAAGTGTCTCCGAGATCTACTAGTGCGGAAAAAGTTGAAGCAAAATAGCGTTCATTACCGGGGAGGATTTTCTGTTGTGTGCTTCCTATGAATGTTCTGTTCCAGTTGTCCTGGTTTACTATTGAAAGAGGTTGGTTGGTGTAAAAATATTTACCTAGTGAAGTTGACTTACCATAGTATTGGCATAGTTTTCAAACAAAACATTTTAAGGTAACGATTAAGTCAATGTTGTAAATAAAGTTAGCAGCATAGATCAACGGAATTTGGTATTACTAGTCGGAATTCTTTTAAGTGTGGCCGTCATCAGGCTGCACTCTATGAAATTGTTCTAAAACCTATCTGTGTATTTCTAACATTCTTCAATTTTTAGTTGATCGATCAATTAGTTTATTGATTAACTTGATCCAACTCTTATTTCGGTAACATTCTTTGTATGCAACGTTTACCGTCTCACTGTTGGTATAGATATCCATTCGTCTTTATCGTTACTTTTTTTTTTGCTTTGCACAACCCGTCTTTCAAATATGCTATGCGGATTCCAGCATTTTTTTGTATTCGGTTCTTTCCCTCATATCCATCAACCACGAACGTCTACCAACTTTTTGCATGTAGGTTAGGCTGCTGCTTCAGGATTTTTCTTTCGTCATGAATGTCGTAGAATACTCGTCGAGTTGGTTTTCTCTGAAGTCTTGTTATAGCCGAACTAGAGTGTCTCCACTTGGATTACTGAGAGTGAAGCTTTCCCGGAGAAGTTTGTTACCAATTTACCGATCCCAGAGGATTGAGAGGTTTGGTGAGCCCGTTGCGGGTTGGAACCAGCACCGTACTCGTAATGACCAGCGTCAATACCGCCACACTACTCGCCTGTTTTACCTGTTTAATTTTTATTTTATTTGTTTGTGCCACTTTCCATTTAGACCTATAGGAAAAGTCCATGATGGGCTTATTATTGATTAGACGCAGTTCAGCCGTGTAGATCACTTGTGCAACGTTGTATGTGAATTAGGTCTTTCGACATGTATTTCATTCTATATCCTTCTCTCTGTTGCAGTTCATTCGTTTTACATGGTTGTCTTTTTCTTCAGTTTTTTTTCTACGGCAATTTCTTTTCCTTTTCATTGCCTTCTTTGGTTTTATACTTTCTTTAGCTTTTCTCATTTTTACAATACATACTTGTGTCAATTTTATATTTGCCTACATACGGTCGTTCTAGTTTCTGCTCGAGGCTGGTGTTTAGTACGTTGTATTCAATATCAAAGTAACTTGCACTTCTGACTTGGTAATACCATTTTTCACTTACCGTTTCTAATTAGAACATCGACCTCTCGCATTTGACATAGTACATGTAGTTTAATTGAGTTTTTTTTACATCCTCTTTTTTATCGCTTTCCTTTGCTCTGGAATTTTGATGGTCTCATTCGCCTAATAGTCACTCGTTCATGAAATGAAATACGTATTACCACTTAACTAATGGGGAAGAGATCTATAAACCCTTGGGAGAGACGTGAACGAGGGACATTAAATTTTCATAAATATTTCATTGACTTTAGAGATATGAAGGCGAGTCTTCTTCACACAATGATGTTGTTGAGCGCGTGGACAAAGACGAAGGCGGTCACGATGAAAAATGTGCAGACACAAACTGTTCGATCGTGCAGCCCGTAGATACTCCACATATTTTCGCCGCTGTAAGTTTGTCGTAAGAATCTTTTTTCTGCAGCTGCGTTTATTTCTCACTATGGAGAAGAATTTGCAGGAAAGGATTCCACGTGTTTTCGAAACTTCTCGGTTATGCTTAAGTCATGCAATGATATTTGACCTGATATTTATTTGTTGTTCATTTGTTTTAACAAATTTAGTCAGGATTTATGGTACTTGCAAGCATTTTCTTTCGTCAACTTTGATGTTCGTCCTTGCTTGTAATTTGTTTTTTTTTCAGTCTTTCTACACGGTGTTCTTAATAGTCTACCAGAAGTAATAAGTGATAAGCGCCTCATTATCTAAATCGTCGATCTTATTTATGTATTCATTCATGATCTTAGATTTCAGTATCTGCAAGTAAACATAGTCGAACCGGTGTTTTTTGAAAAGAAGTGGGGAAAATATGCATTAGGCAGCAAAACTGGCTTAATGTTGTTAAATTGCAACCGAAGACTTCCTTTTCTTCACTTGCTGATTTTCCCCACTACATTTATGAACTTGTAATAAGATCTGAATCTCATGTAGCTTTAAGTAGGGTTCTATTCTTCGTTCAGTTTTGTTTTCGTATCATTGTATTTATGGAATAACCACTTAGTTGTGAAGTTGTTGTACGAATAGGGTATTCAGTTGCAAATCCTACACCGGTGTTGTACCTAAGGTATACTTTCATATGTTTGATTATACTATTTCTTGTATATATGTAGTTAGTTCATAATTTATGCGTTTTCTTTTTGTTTAAAGGTTTTCTTTTTCGACAAGACTTTGTTTCAATATCAAGGAAACATTTTCATTGGCCAAACTTGAGTTTGCCTCAACCGCTGTTGCACATGCAGTCATTTTACAACTCTGGATTTTCGTAGACATCGTTAGCGACGACCTAGTCATCGTTCCACAGTGATTCATCGTTCTAGTGCGGTCTTACTAGCAACGATCGAAGGCGTACCATTCGAGTGGTTGGATGTCGTCTACATTTGTAGCAAACGGTGCGTGTTCTGCTAGCTCGGTTTGCGTCCGCCGTGTTCATCGACCGGCCGATTAACGGCATATGTGAGTTCGACGATGAATAAATTGAGCGCCTGCTAATTTTCCAAGCTACAACCGCGATCTTCTTCCTGTTTACGTCGTAACTCGTCTTTGTCGGTGGATATATGTCGAGTTTGGAGTACCCGAGTTGTCAGTTGCGGATTCGAAGTATGAAAGGCAACAAAACGCTGTGGAATCGTATCGACGCTTGTGGATAACCTAATGTTGGAGTGATTTCATTTTACAAATAATGATAATAAGCAATTAGACAGTACCGAATTAGAGAGTAGAGAGTTACTGAAGACCTGTACCGTTCTGAAGGATCTGTACCGTTCTAGCAATTACAATGTTTTGGGTGTTTTATGACTCATTTTGCTCCGAGTTCCGAATCTAGTGGATTTGTCAACATAACTCGAAAGACCGCCTTTCTATAAACCTCGGCATAGATAGTTGATATATTTATTTATGTGGTCTTATAAACTGATTTTCTTAAGCTGACGCGAGGTTGGTACAGATCTTCGTTGTCGTTGTTGTTTTTGATGTTGTTGGTCGATGGCTGACGTTTCGGCGACTTCGCCTTAGAGCCTGGACGTATTTTATACTAGAATATTTTTATTATTCGGTGGAAAAAAGGTTAGAGTATTAATCAAGATCAAACTTTCAAATAGAAGCCATATTGAACAGAAAGACCACTCACCGTGATGGTACGTGCAGGACTGGCCCACGCGTTGTTTTCGTGGAGTCGCGAGCAAGACATACCCCGGGATCAAATTTTTATCTTAAGCTTTATTTAGTGCCTATTCTTTTTAACGGCAGGGTATGTTGCGAAATATAACTTCTATGTAAAGCTGAGATATTTGCAAAACTCCGGACCGCAGGTGTCTGCGATGGGAACGAACGCGCTATTGTCCTTTCCGGGGAGTAACGCGTTCATCTATCCACACTATGCGGGTCCTTCGTTTAACCTGTCTCTCAGCTAGTTCTGTTGATCACTTGCCATCAGCAATCACCCGTCAACGGGATTGATCCAGGGAGCCTAAATCGGTATTGAACCCAGTTAAGCAGAGGCTATAGTTATAATTGCAATCTTACCCTTTTCATTTACTGCCTATTCTTCTTAACGGCAGGGTGTGTTGCGAAACATAACTTCTATAATGCTGGGATATTTGCAAAACTCCGAACCACAGGTGTCAAACAGACATCCGGCAGACACCTGCCGTCCGGAGTTTTGCGAGTATCTCAGCATTATAGGTGTCCTATCATTGTTTAGTTTCTTAGAATTTTTGCCGTGAATTCTATGAGAATGCCATGTGGCTTTTTTTTACTTTATCCGACATCACGTATGCTGTGTATTGCATTCCTGAATTCGATTCATTTCCCCACATCCACCAACGACGAATGTGTTCGAACTGAAGCGTGTGGTTTCGGTTGCTACTTGGAGTTCTCCGTTTTTCCTTTCTCTTTGTCTTTGATGAATGCCGTGCAATAGCCGTCGAGTCCATGCTTTCTTGAAGCCTAGGTTGGGCGTTTACTCATGTGGTTTAGAGGGCGTAAACCTATAGTTCGGCACTAATTCTCCTATATCCTGGGAATATAGAAAGCTTGAGGGACCCGATGCGAGGTCCAACTAACGCCTGGTTAGGGTAGCTCTTCTATGTGATGAACGACATCACTACCACTGCGTTATCCGCCCTCTGTACGGATATGGTTAGCAGGTTTGTAGAACTACTATCTATATTTTCCTATCAAGTTAACAAGTTAACAGTATCAAGTTAACAAAGTTGGCATAAACTCTTATTCGGAGAGCATCTCCACGTCTTGTCTTCTTCAGCGCCAGCTTAGTTCGCATAGATTTCTTACATCCGGTGATCCTCACAATGTGTGGTCTTCGTCGTCGCAACAAGTCGATTCTAAGATAGTGGAACTGCGTTCGAGTGGAGAAACCGTACTTAGAAGTACCCTTTTATTTAGGCTGGTTGTTGATCTACTGCCGCTCAATGTGATCTGCTGATCCGTCTTCATCGTAACAATCCATTCTGCAACGGTCAGTATTCCGTTAGGTATGTCTAACTCAGCAATATCTCAAAAACCAACTCTCATTAAGCTTCGGAAAAATTTATCAGTATGTTTCTGGATTTCTGAATGCATTGCCGTCAGAAAGTAGATCGTATTGGGTGGAAGCAATACATTAACATCTGTCCTCATTCAAGCGACGCTCCACTGCAATGTACTCGATGTGACAACGAACATCCACATCGCGAAGACCGCCGCTCGTGTACCTTCGACTTTGATCAACACGGCTCTGAAGACGAAAACGTCGAAACTTTAGTTCGATATTGTTTTCCATTTACTGCCTATTACTTTTTTATCGCAGATTACTATGTGAAGTGCAGCCACAAAGATGCTGGGATATGAGTAAA